GCCCATCTGCTTCTCATCTTTTGGCCATTCCACTGAGGCATCTCCTAGGCCTAGTCATGTACACAGGAAGGGGAGAGATAAGAGGGAAGAAGTCAGAAGAACAAAGTCTAGGATGTATAGAGGCAGAACATTCTCACTTCTTGGGATACCAGGATACCAGCTATGACTCCCTTCTTCCTCCTGGGAGAAGTCTGTGCTACTCCTTTTTAAATAAACCCTGCTTTTATGCTTGCCTTGGTGTGCTTCTCTAATGTTCAAACTTCAACATGAAAAAAAGCAGGACTCCTCACCAATAACCTGTGGTATCACCAAGAGGTCTCCCTGCACAATTTTTGCTCAGAGGCTCAAATAAGCTAACCAGAGATTCCATGATCAGGTCTTTTTATGACAAAGTTTTTAGTACCTGACATGGAATCACGTCCAATTTGTAACAATGATGACCCCTTGGAAGGTAGAGTGTTTTTGATGTGAGATGAGGGAGAAGATTTGACATGGCAGTGTAAAAAGTCTTAGAAATTCTCCTCTAGTGCAATTGGCTAATTGGTTTGCTTTCCTAACATGTAGTATCCAAGGAAAGAGGAATTTAAGGACTATGAAGGAACTGGGTTCCTACAGGAAAAAAGGAATATACAATAGAAAAGCACACTCCCCAGACCCACTTCTTCATTCAATACCTGTAACAAGGACAGATCAAGGACAGGTCCTATTCCCTCGACCCTCCTTCTAGAACCTTCATCCTGTCCCATTTACTCCCCAAATCCATTCAGTTGGGTGATCTAGCAGAGAGCATAAGACACCTGCAAAGAAATGGCTTTGTGATTCCAGTCCCAGGGGAGGGAGCACCCAGACTGTTTTGAGTTTTGTTTTGATGGAGAGGGGGTGGGATAAGAATGTTTACAGCCCTCAGGAACTTTGCTTAGTTCAAACTGCACCCAAGAGGAATTTTAGGATGCATTCCAAAATGGTGATACATAAAACTTTCCACCCAACTATAATCATTCAGGAAAATTTCCATCCCATTTTGTGTTATAAATGAACCACAGAAGTTCTTTCCTAAAAGCAAACAAGGGTGACACCTTTATCACTTTATATTGATAATCCAGTCCCGTTCAACCAACAGGGCAAATTAAGATCAATTAATACCTCCCCTACCTATTTCTGAATATTTTGTGTCATAAATAACCAAGTCTTTGTAAATTATGCAGGGCAAGTGTTGATCAAAGCAAAGGGTTAAATCAGACAGAACCTGGGAAGCCTTTTTGTGGACAGAAAACATTTTTGTCAGATAAAAGAAATAATGAATTTTTTTTCTGAAAAAATGGAAACAATACGTGCAATATGAAGAAGGTGTTATAAAATAACTATTCTTAGCGTTAGCATACTGTGGGATTAAAGACCACTCATTACAGTTCTATAAAATAGCACACATTATTAAGAGTATAATAACAAACTTTGTAATAAAGTTCATATGCCAATTATGGCATATGGTTTTCATAGAGAAAACCAATTAAAGTCAGCTGTGTTTTAAGTAGATTTTGGAAGGCAGGCTCATAATGGGTAATTACAGTAGTAAGCCTTCAGTCTGCCACTGATTACCATCTCCCCACCACACATGGTGTGAGGAGCCTTTCTTATAGGAGACCTAAACACAAACGCATGTTTGCTTATAGGTCCACATCAACTTCCACTTCCATGGTGTTGGGAGGCAGAAGAGTGATATTGCCTTATATCTTAACCAGATCCTGCCAAGTGTTTGCTCTGTGTTTAAAAGCCCTGGGTGGTGTTGGGGCTTTATCCTGTAATGGAAAACAGCATGGTATGGTGAATAAACACTTCCTGTGAAATCCAAATCTCAGAGATCCCGATTCCTGGTGTTGTTCTTCCACTGACTAGAGCTATGACTCTGGGAAAATCAGTTAATGCCTTTGTGACTTATTTTTGCTCATCTGTAAGATGAGGTACTGCTCTTTGGCCAGTTGGGATTCTACATTAAAATCAATGTTATAGGAGGCTTCCAACATCTTCCTGTGAGAAATAGATGCTAAATATCCCCACAGGTTGACACTCCTCCCTTTAAAAGGTGGAGTCTCCTTTACCTCTCTGTATTTTATGTCTGCTTCATGGATGGATGCAGCAGAAGGGACCTTGGGTGACTTTCATAGATAGATCATAGACAGCATTCCTCCCTCCTCTGACCCTGGGCAGATACCTTTAGATTCTGAGCCACCATGTAAGATATCCAGCTACTTTAGAACTACTGTTCTAGAGTAAAAAACTATTCTAGATGGGGCAGGGAGGGGGGAGACAGATGGAGAAAGCACAGCCCAAGGAATGTCAGCTGTTTGAATTTCCCAGACCAGGTGAATAACTTAAGTGAAGAAGCCTCTGAGACTGTGCCACCCTAGCCACTGTGGGCTGTAATCTTCTAGACACCTTTAACTAAAACTACTCAGCTAAGTCATCTCAAAGTCCTGGCCCCAGCAGTGAGAGATAACACATGACTATTGCTATTTTAAGTCACTAACTATTGGGGTGACTTGATGAAGCCACAGTAACTAAAGAGGAACTATGATGGAATAAGAACTAGAAGAACAGAGAATAAAATCATGGCATTTGCAGGTAAATGGATGGATTTGGAGAATATAATGCTAAGTGAAGTTAGCCAATCCCAAAAAACCAAATACCGAATGTTTTCTCTGATTTAAGGAGGCTGATTTATAATGTGGTTGGGGAGTGGGGTGAGGGGGGAATATGGGAGGATTAGAATGCTAGTTCTACTCTAGAAATATGTATTATACTTATTTGATACATCCTATGCATTCCCACCTGGTCTTAGATGAACTCTAGATAGGGCAAAGGGGAGGGAGAGGTAGGGAGAGGCCATGGGGGTACAAAAGACTATGGGATGAGATGGACATCATTACCCTAAGTACATATATGAAGACATGAATGGTGTGACTCTACTTTGTGTACAACCAGAGATATGAAAAATTGTGCTCTATGTGTGTAATATGAATTGTAATGCATTCTGCTGTCATGTATAACAAAATTTTAAGTTAAAAAAACATAAGAAAAAATAACTAGGAGAACAAAAAAAAATTTTTTTAAATAAACATTTAAAAGTGCCATCTACCCTAAGGTCAAACAAAGAAATCTTTAGCATTCACAAGAACCTCAGAAAAGACAATTTAGAACTCTTTTTGACCCAGTTATCCTATTCCTCAGTTTATACCCAAAGGACTATAAAATCAGCATATTACAGTGACACAGCCACATTAATGTTTACAGCAACTCAATTCACGATAGCTAAACCATAGAACCAACTTAGGTGCCCTTCAACAGATGAAGAAAAATTCGGTATATATACATAATAGAATATTACTCAGTCTTAAAGAAGAATTAAATTATGGCATTTGCTGGTAAATGAATGGGGCTGGAGGATGTCATGCTAATGAAATAAGCCAATACCAAAGAACCAAAGGCAGAATGTTTTCTCTGATATTCAGATACACAATAAGGGAGGGAGGGTTAGAGAAGAATAGAGGTACTTTGGATTAGACAAAGGGGAATGAAGAGAGGAGAAAGGGTTGGTGGTAGAAGGACAGTAGAATGAATGGGACATTATCACCCTACGTGCATATATGATTACATGACTGGTATAATTCCACACCATGTACAACCAGAAGAATGAAAAGCTATACTCCATTTATGTACGATGTGTCAAAATGCATTCTACTGTCATATAAAACTAATTAGAACAAATTAAAAAGAATGATGAAGGTAAAAACAACACTGAAGTATCACCTTTTCTGTTTCCAAACTGGGAGAATTTTATGAGAATTTTTCCATGTTCATAGTTAAAAGAAATGTAGTAACACTGATCCTAAGAAGAACCAACTAAGATGGTAAAGCACAGAGCCAGGGCATCCTCCAGTCATTCCACGTAGGTGCTAATGCCACGGCCTGTGGTCTTTCTACCTCAGCCTTTCTCAATAGACTGTGCAGCTGATGAAGTCCACGTGTTTCCCAAACACAGCTCTGAATGCCGTGGAAAAGTAGGGATTCTTTAGAAAGGGGGCAAGGGAACACTTTGGAGGGCAATCAGGAAAGGTGAGTCCGGGACACCTGTGAAATCTGGTGAAGCCAAACAAAGAGTGGTGCTCAGGAGACGGCAATTGGTGGCCTGTAGGTGGGATGCAGCCACAAACCCACTTGTTCCTATTTTTATTATATTTTTTCCTGGTTCATCCAGTGTTTTCAAAACAGAAAATCTCATATAAAAATATTAGATTTCTAGCTTCTCTTGAAACTGTGGAGACCTGGTCTTAAGCAGCTGGACCTGACTGGCTGTTTCTCCTTTTGGACAGAACACATGCTCTATTTGCTGTAGTCCTCCTTACTCCCTATCATTTTATACATGAGATCACCTTATCCCTCTACTTCACATTTCCAGTCCCTGTGAACATTTGAGTTTGGGTCTCATGACCTAAACCAACAGAGGAGCTTCAGATTCCAAATATCTGAGTCTTGGTCACTACAGGTATATGGATTAGAAATTCCAGTAAATTCTGCTGTTGTGTCCTTGACAATTTCCTTCCCTAAACTACAAATATGAGACTGAGCATGACAAACCTACGTGTCTAAGGTTATATAAGTCATCTTACAATATTGTCATCAAATATTGGAGTGCTAGTTCTACTCCAGAAATATGTATTAAACTTATTTGATATATCCTAATTAATTAAAATACAACTATGCCCATACACATTCCTTACCCCTAATTAATACAGAAGAGTCAATTGTCGGTCAGCTGTGAGATTAAAAAGGACAGAAAAGGAACAAAGAAAGCCACAGATAGTAAAGTGTAACTTTTTAAAAATTTATCAGAGAATATCCTCAAGGTGATTTCTAATAGTGACTTATTGAGTCAATGAAAGCATTTACTGAGAGTTTGAAATCAGAATTGTGTTAGAAAAGCAAAATAAGACAAAACAACTCACCAATTCCAGACATTGTCTGTGGCCATAGGCAGCAGCATAATGTATACTATTGTAGCCTTCCTTGTCCCGGATAGATGGATTTGCATCATTTTGAAGCAGAAACTCTAGACATCTGTAAGTATAAATATGAGGGATTATTTTAGAAAACATCTCTGGACCAAACAAGATAATTACTGAGAATCCCCCCTGTTTTTCATGTTCCACAAAGCACTTTATAAATTTAAGTGTTTCTTTAAGAACTGTGTTGCAATAAACCTTTCTGCGCTGGAAGGTAGTGTGAGTGAATGAGTGAGTGTATGTGTGTGTGTATGTGTGTGTGTGTGCATATACACACACATTTTCCATAGCTATCTTTATTTCCACTTAAAATAGCCATTCTAGAATTCAGGAAAAGCTTTAGAAGCAAAAGGGTAATTTATTTTTTTTATTCTTCTCATCTTCAGGTATAGAATGTCTTTTGTCAAGATCTCCAAATAATAAGACTTAGATCTCTGTGTTCAAAAGATGAAGTCTCAAATACAAAGAAGTGGTCAGGCCTTTGCAACTCAGCAAACCCAACAGAGAGGGGATTATTTGTAACATTGCTATTGGAAACTAAGATCAAAAGACAAGAAAACAAAAGTTTAAAATAGAGTAAGAAAAACAACCCAAGGATAGTCTGAATAATAAAAAGATTAAAGGAGTGGATAAGCTTTTAAAATATATAAATGACTAATTCAGTAACTACATATGAAGAAAGAAGCTTAAATTATACCATTAGGAATATAGACTGGAACAAAATAATATTGAAAGGCTTTTTTGATACAGTTGTAATTTTCCTGAAAAAGTCACAATCTTTGAAATAGGCTAGAGGAAGGAGCTTGGTTGTACTTTTATTGAAGAGCCTGCAACACCAGACAAAAATACTCAGGGACATAAAGCATTCTGTTCAGGGCTAATTGCAAATGGTCTGATCTTGATGGCACAGAGGGAATAACTAGCCAGAGAGTGACACTCCATAATTTCAGTATTATATCTACAACAATGGGACACACATTCTTATGAGGCCACACTGATTCAATTTTACACTTACATCAAGCTTTTAAAATTTTAAACATAAGCTTATACCTTAAAAAAGACTTTTCAATGGAAAATTTCTTCAGTTGACTCAAAATTTTACATGACGTTTACCTATCTCTTGGTATAAGGCAAAAGGAGTAAACGAATCATATACAGAAGTTTTAATTAAACAGGTTCTTACAATTTTTTAGAAAAATTGATAGAAAATACTTTTTTAAACAAAATGCTATCTGTCACATTTTTCCATGCTAAATCAAACTTTATTATTAGAGTCCTACTATCATGCTGTCTTGGGTCATTTATACCTTATAAGGAAGTTCTTTGGATTTTGGTAATTATGCCCATGGATAGGATCTCAGGTATGACTCATTGTAAACCAAATTTGGATCTTTAAATAAAATCATTCAATAGCAATAACATCCTAGAGAATACACAAATTCCAACTTTTCAATAGACTATATTCTAGAAATCAGTGATTGGTTGTATTTGTAATCTGGAAAACATTTGAAATTGCTACCAAAGAATCATTTAATCCAGGATATAGCTACAATAACAATAGTGCTATAGAATTTGTATATTCTCCATATAGTTTCCAAAGGAAAAAAAAATGAATTCTATGTTTTAACTGGAGATGCTTATATTTGTTCCTCCCAGGCCCCTGACTAGTAATTTTGACACTTAAGATATATAAGTGACAGCAACACTGTAGATTGGGGCTATATTTGGCCAAGGGGAACAGCCTCCCTTTGCACACAGAAGCTCTCAGGTCTGCTGGTTCACTGTCCTTTAACTACCTCTCTAGCTTCCCTCCCCTTCCACTGTCAGAGGGCTAGACTGGCCCAGGGCAAACTTTCGGTTTGCTGGAGAAGGGAGCATTTGCTGAGGTGACTTACAATTTTATAACTTTTAATGTTATTATTTACATTTTTAGAGTATCAGAGCAAAACCTGGTCATTCTGCTGTACTCACAGCTGTGTCTCCTATCCCCAGAAATGGTCAAAAGCTATGTTCTGTAACCTGCACCAGAGCCACACTCACTACCTATACCCTTCCATGATGCTCTGAATATGGGGTGGGGGTGGGGGGTGAAAGGGCGGAACCCAGTGGGAAATGGAAAATCACAGGGTAGACACAAGCATTCAAGTCACAAAGAAACTGCTTTCTTTGGCAATTGGAGCAGAGAATAAATGAGTTAGGGACCATGAGCCTGCAGACTCAGAGAAAACTGGATCCATTGGGTCCCCTGGGGGTGTGGCACAAAGTGTGGGCACCTGCTCATTTGTTTGTTCATTTATTAAACAGTTTCTGTACACCAACTATGTGCCAGGCAATTCTTGTGACTAAAATCTTAGAGGATGAAGCACTGGAGTTCCTATATATCAACGCTCTGTGGAGATGACAGGTGATCCAACTGCTGTCACAGCAACAGCTAAGTCTCTGTCAGAAGCCAGAGTGGGGTAGGTAGGATGAGGTGGGTCAGGGGAAGCTGTTTACATGGAACAGGAAGCTGTTTTTAAGTCAATGTGCCAGAAAGAAGGAAGGAGTGAGGGGAAGACTGGTACACTCCACACCACCAGAAGACCTTTAGAGAACCCAATGCAGGTTATCCCCAGGTCATAAACGCAGAACCTAAGGCCTACGGCTGTGAAGGGGGCCTTACTATGTCCCTGAGGCATATGAGACATGGCAGAGTCAGAAATGATATTTAGATCTAAAGCTGCTGACCAATCATAGTGACAGACAGGGCAAAGGTTACACTTTTAGGAAGTTCCCTGTGTGAAAATAGCACCAGTGAAGGATGTATAATAAGAACAGTTTCTTCTTCATAAAAGGCACGCCTGCATTCCTTCCTCACGATTCTAAATAGAACGCTAACATAGAAAGGCAAGCAGTGTGGCAACCCAGAGAAGCAGGCAAAGCAGGAGAGGCGGCATCTTGTTCTTCAGCTCAGAAGAAACTTACAGTGCGGCTTCCTTCTCCTTCAGCTCCCTGGCTCTTTCAAGTTCTTCTGAATTTTCATGGGCATTTCCCAAGACAGTCTTACTTCTCAGCATAAGGGATAGAAAAAAAATTGCAATTAATTTTAGTACAATTATATCTCAGTGATTTTGACCCCAACCCCCCAAAATAAGCATCACCGATTTTCACTGATGATATATACAGCTCTCTCCAAGGCCATTCAGCTAATCTATTTTTTCCCAAGAAATGCACTTGAGCACATGCCTTTTCTAGAACTTCTACCCAGGTGTGAGAGATTAGGACAACTGAGTTGCCCACCTTTCAGTAAACACCTTAAAACTCCCCAAGAAAAAAAAGGAAGCAGTTTAGCTCAAACCTGTCTAACTCCTACCACACTCCTTGCCACCTCCTAGCCAGATCAGCATCTCACTTATCCAGGAGTACAGTCGCAATTGCCCTTCATCTGTCAGAATGATTATTATTCCTTTTCCAGCCCTTAACAGATGGAAAACACCAATGTCCCATCTCCTCCAGCTTTCTTACTTTGTTCTAAGCAAATAGCATGGAGCCTTGCATACAGCAGTTACTCAATAAATGTTTGTTGAATTAATAACCTGCATAGCTATGGGATCCTGAGGGACATATCTGACCTTATCATCATTATATAATAAATATAATCATAATATAAATCATTATATAATAAATAACATTTATATAATACTTATATTAAATAAATATAAAAATGAATAGCATTCTTATGCTTGTATGTTTTTCAAACTAATGATCATAACCCATTACTAAATACTGAAATAAATTTAGTGGGTTGCTCTCAGCAATTCTTAATTATGAAATGGAATAGAAAATATCAGAATGCATCACAAATAATAAATGTAAATATGGTTCTATAAATTTTTATTTCTGTTTTATATGCACATACATATGTGAATGCTTGCATTAGTTCACCACGTAAGATGTATTTCTTATTGTGAGTCACCATTCAAAATGTTTAAAGGGGCTGGGAGAGTAGCTCAGTGGTAAAGTACATGCTTAGCATGTGTGAGGTCCCAGGTTCAAACTCCAGCACCAAAAAAGTAAATTAAATAAAATGTTTAAAACTCATTGCTCTACAAAAGCAGTGGTTAGTACCGACCCAGAGTTAATTGTGCAGAACAGGACAGCAAATAAGCTAATAGTTCTCCACACAGAGTCATCAAAAAGCATTCTTATAAAGGAGGCCTGATTTTAAGTCTTTTTTTAAAAAAAATATTTATCTTTTTAGTTTTAGGTGGATACAATATTTTATTTTTATATAGTGTTGAGGATCGAACCCAGTGTCTCGTGCATGCCAGGCGGGCGCGCTACCACTTGAGCCACGTTCCCAGCCCCCGACCTTAAGTCTTTGAGGACAGTTTCATAAACTGTGGGGCCATCCCCTTCTTTCCTCCTTGAACTGAGTCACTGATGTCTGACTTCTATTCCTAGCCACCTAGAATCCAAACACATCCAGGGCAACCAATTTCATCTCTACTAGCTGCTAAAAAGGAGTTCATGCCCAGACTTGGAACAAAAGTGCTTATTTTAATTATACTGAGGCTGTATTTGAAGGCTATGAGAATGATGCATAGGTGAAACTTTTTTTTCATATGACACATGTATTAGCAAATGTAAATTTGTGGAAAATGAAGCATTTAAGTGGTCACGAGGAAAACGACAATATATGTCAAATAAATTATAAGACTTCGAATGGACTGAAAACCTGGGCTTGACAGCTCTACTTGGCATTCTACCCAAAGAACAGAGAAGAGAGGAAATTGTTCAGTGACATGTAATAATCAAACACAGAGACAGAGAGTGGGAAAATCTGGGTTAGTGATGAAGCTATTCTAACTCCTTTGAGTCTGAATGAAAGTCTTTATTTGCAATTTCCAGGAGGCAATATGAAGAAGACTTAGCAGAGCCTCTCCATCCCTAGTCCCACCCCCAGAGGAAGCATGAGCAAGGCTGTTTTTACTTTCTATCCATGTCTGATGCAGCAGCATAGTGCAGAGCGGTCCGGCCCCAGTCATCTGTTTCATTAACATTGGCGCCTGTGGTCACTAACGTCTCAATACAGTGGAAATGACAATTTGCAGCTGCATAGTGCAAAGGGGTCCTGTAAAACAAACAGGGATTTATTACTTCATTCAGCCTGGAAAACAGACCCATCATCAACACAGGCACTGGTGGCAATATTCCTATTGGTGTGGAAAGCTCTTTGGCTCTCAGTGTAGAGGCTAAAGGATATGCCTTCCTATGACTGTATAAATTGAAATAGAGGCTCCAAAGACTGGTGGCTTAAGACAAGGTCAGTCATGTTGGGTCCATTCTTTCTTTATATTCCTATAGCCTCCCCTGGTTCAGGTCTACCCTATTTCTTTTTTGGGGACCACTGCAAGATCATCTCATTAAGACCCATTAAGACCATTCCCATTAAGACCATTTTGAGCTTTAATTAAGCCCACACCTAATTTCTAGTTGGTATGAACAAAGAACTGGATTTTCTAATGTACAATTCCTACATACAACAATTCTGTTTTAAAACCCTCAAGCCTTCCCACTGACAAGAGCTTGCTTCCTCAACCTGGAATTGAGACCTTTTCAAGTTGGTCTCAATTTCTCTTATAGAGTATCTCCCTCCCCTAGATATACCCATTGGTATATCCAAACTGAATGATCTCAGGTTTTCCAGATCATGTCTATACTTCCCTCCACCCCTGTCCATCTTGGTTTCTTCGTGGGAGGGCACCTTCCTGAACCTTGTCTACCCATCAAAATCCCACTTATCCTGCATGTTCCAGATGTTAGTGGTCTTTCTTTAGTTTGTGATTGCTTAGCTACTGTCAGAGTCTCTTGAGCTCTCATCACATATTGTCTTGATTGGGGGGGAGGGGCGGGGGAGTGTACCAAGGATTGAACTCAGGGGCACTTGGCCACTGAGCCACATCCCCAGCCCTATTTTTTATTTTATTTAGAGACAGGGTCTCACTAGGTTGCTTAGTGCTTTGCTCTTGCTGAGGCTGACTCTGAACTCGACATCCTTTGGGATGACAGGTGTGTGCCACCGTGTGCCACCCGACTCTTGCCTTGGTTTTTAGCTACTGGTATTTTGTCTCATCTTCTCTGAACATCAGCTCCTGGTGAGTAAGGATGTAGGTTCATGGGCAGATTTGCAAACAGGACCAAATCTGCTGTCTGGCTCTGGGCTTCCTCAACCTTACTTCAGTAAGGACCTTTGAGCAGCTGTCCCCTAAGATCTTTTCTAGGTCTAAAATTCTGTGTACATATACAACTTATTTAGTATCTCTGGGTACAGCTTTCTCATATGATAAAAAAGAAGACAGTAAGCCTTTCCATACACCTCATGGAGTTATCATGAGAAAACAAATGAATACCAATCAGGAAATATAAGCACCTTGACCAGGCAAGACTGCAGAAATATATTTTATATTACTTATTTTTAGTTCTCAATTATGTGACAGTTTTTTTGATATGACTAACTGATATCCAGGGAATAAGAATCAAACAGAATACAAGAAATAACTTTAGTTCAAGAATTATTAATCAATTTTAAAGAAAAACTATTTTATATTTATGGTCAACTTGTGGCCTCTTTTTTTAATTTTTTTTTTTTTTTAGTTGTAAATGGACATAATATCTTTATTTTTATGTGGTGCTGAGGATCGAACCCAGTGCCTCACATGTGCTAGGCAAGCGCTCTACCACTGAGCCACAACCCTGGCCCAACTAAGGGCTCTTTTTTCAGTTGATTTTTTCTTCTTTGGTCCAAAAGAAGGAAATTATAAATTATATATATTAAGTTGTTTTTGTTTTAATAAGCCATACTGAAAATTATTAGGCATCAACCATATGACAAGGCCCAAAGATAAAGAGAAAATGACATCCAGTCCTTGCCCTCAGGACTCACAGTCAAGTGGAGAGAAAGACAAGGGAAGTGAGTCTCCCAGTACAATGTGATGTGAGCTGCAGCTGTGGAGTCTGTGGAGTGTTAGTGGAGTAGACAAAAAGCCACTCCCATTGGAGTTGCAAGAAGGTGTCACTTGACATGAATCTGGAAGGATGAGTAGGAGCTGTCTTAGGTAGGTTGGTCCAAGAAGAAATTTGAGGCAACCCCCAAAAGCTAGGATGCCAGTGGAGAAGAGGAGTAGAGAGATGTTAGGGGAAAATATATATATACTGTCAAGTGTTGCTCCATGACCAGGCGTGTTCTGAAAAATATCACTGGGTGATTTTGTCATTGTGTGAACATAAACCTTGATGATCTGACTACTACACACCCAGGCTATATGAGACCACCATCATGTATGTGGTCTGCTATTGACTGAATGTCATTATGTGATGCATGACTTGTGTATGTGTGCATGGGTGTGCACACACATGCATGTGATGTGTGTGTATAAAAAAAAAAAGGATTCATGTACCAGGTAGCATCATAGCACAGTTTAGCTATATAAAGGACCACAGAGGTAGGAAAACTTCTGTGACCCACTGGTAGGGTATATATGTCTGATTTTGTAAATATGTCTAAAAATTTATCCCAAGATGAAATGTCCAATACATACTTAAAAATGCTCTAGACCTTATGACCGGATTCTGAGTTCAGAAGGCTAAAGTGTTTTACTCTGCTACAAATAGAATTTTCTAAATTATATCCATGTAGGAGATTTTTTTCTTTTTAATAAAAGAAGAAAACTGGCCCTTCTAAGCTGAAGCTGAGAGAGGAGTTGCTTTCCTTACATCTTATGTTTGGTTTGCTGGCATTTCCCTCCAACATGGGATTTCCTTCTGCAGATGAAATGCCCCCAGCCAGCTTCTTGTTGACATTTCAATGCCACAGGATTTCTCAATTTTTCAATGATCCCCAGTCCTTTTATGGGGGCACTTGAGGCAGAGTGCCCTGAGTACATACCTCCCACTCTTGTCCTTTTTATGGAAATCTGCTCCACTGCTCTGCAAGAGTTTTATGCACTCCACATTACTAGAAAGACAGGGAAAACATCATTAACATGGTAAAAGTTAGTTACTAGGTTATCTTCAGAAAGAGCTATTTTCTGCAGGGTGCAGCATAAGATAAGATGGTAGCACCAGGTTTAAATTCTGCTACCAAGAAATAAGAGGAACATGTAATAGTAATTCTATATTGTAACGATCTAAAGTTCCTTTTTCAAAGCTACTAAATCAATAAATTTAAAGAGCTTGGTAGAACATTTTCAATTCCATCACTAAGGAATTTAATGATTCTTTTAATGAATCATGTAATCATGATTAAACCCTCCAGTGATGGTTTTATCATTTATCCTAAAATTCTTTTTCAAAACCATCAAGAGACCATGAAACAATCACTTCAACCTATAATAACTTCATGTCACCTTTAAACAATGAGTTGGAATGGCTGAACATTACCTTTTATTACAGCAAAATGAATCCCCCATGATAACCACTTTCAACTAGATAATCTTTAATGAAAAAATAGAACAGTTGCATTTCCCTGTCTTTGTAATCCGGGTAAACAAATGTGTAGAACCAAGGCTGAAAGTGATGTAATGAAGCATAATCGTCTTCCAAAACTTCTCTGGCATTCACAGAAGCAATAAATCATATTTAATAGAGAGAAAAGGACCCATTGAAGTGGATTTTTCTATTGAAGAGCAGAAGCTAAATTTTAATTCTAATAGGGATTTCAGACATGAATTCAGAATGGTATGTTACCACTTTCTAGACAGGTCTGATATATTTTTAAATGCAGGCATAGAAAGAGATAATCATAATTGTTCTAAACTGGGGTGCTAAGAAGTGGTCTGGATTTATTGTTTTATTATATCTGAAAGAAGAAAAATGATCTCCTTAATGATAAGCCTAAGGAGGGCTCTCCCCACTCCACCTCCAACCTTTATAGCCATTTTCCTCAGAGAAGAAGCTGTTTCAGTCATAAACTAGAAGAATTTCTTATGATAAGTAAGTGTTGGTGTAGCGTGCCAGTTGATATAAAGCACTTAATGAAAAATGGCAAAGGATCAAAAACAGAGGCAGATACAAGGTGTATGGCTCATGAAGCTCATTTGGTTTTCGGGGTGGGGTGAGGAAGGCGCCTTTTTACCCATGTAAATCAGGGCCCTAAAGCTACACAGTTAAGTCACCTCTGATAAATAGGTAACACAAATGGAGAAGCACTGCTGTTCCTTAAGGACCAGGAAACTGATGAAGAACCAACACCTCATCCTCACAAGGCCATCTAAGAGGTACCATGTTTGGACAATGTGTGGCCATACATCAACAATGTTTTTAATCAGAGCGTTAATCTAATCACTGATATGAAAATGAGAGTAGCTAATGGAAAATTCTCTTTACAGCTCAGGGGGAAAAAAAAGCAAAGATTAAATCATTTCTTGCTCCCCCCGCCTTTTTTTTTTGTGGTGATGGGGATTGAACCCAGGGCCTTGTGCATGCAAGGCAAGTACTCTACCAATGGAGCTATATACCCAACGCTCTTTCTTTCTCTTCAACTTTGTATTGATTTAGTCATCATAAAGACTTAAAAATCTGATTTGAAGTAAGGACAAAAATGCCTATAAAGGAGCATAAATTAATTCAATCTTACTTTCTCTTAATCACTACCCACCTACCAACAACAACAACAAAAAATTTAGGAACAAATTTCAAATTAATTTATTTTGGTGGAGGGGACTCAAGTAGATAAATATTCTATAGCCTGAATATCTACAGTTAGAGAAAGTGCGGGGAGGAAGCAGAAAAGAGATCCAGAAAGAAGAAAACAACAAAAGCCCTTCTTTGCTATATGAGATAGGCTAACAATATTTCTTTGGAAGAACAAAATGTAAGTAGGTAATCTGGAAAAGCAACTAGTGATATTTGGTATTTGGTAGAAATGATTCTTACCCAATTTACTACGGAAATTGCTTCTGGTTCACAGACAACTTGAGTCAATTAAGATGTATTATGCAATTAAGTCATGGAATAACAAAAATTGCTAAGTACTTACCCTCCTGCAGCAGCAGCATGAAGGCACGTTCTTCCAAATTTATCTGGGGTGTCTATTTCAAAGCCTGCAGACAGCACGTGCTCATTACTAAACAAGGATACTATGCTATACTTTTGTCCTAGTTAAACCACAAGAAACATTGCAGAGACAGAAAAATCAGTTAGTAGGAAAACCAGAAAGCAAGCAATTGTAGTCAGAAAGAGGTTGTCATGGAAACGAATGGTAACTGCTCAAGCTTGGCAATTTTATAGGAAGAACCGTGAAGTCAAGAAGGATTTATTTTCACATCAGCCCTGGGTGAACCATAGCCCCATTTTTCAATCCCAGGATAGAAATTTATGAAACCAATTTGAGATAAGTAGGGCAATAGACAGGCAGACAGAACACATGGAGAAAACATGGAAGGCAAAGGAGTAATCCTAACATGTAGGAATAGATATTTTCTTAAGTGTATTCCAACCTTTCTGTTGGTTTAAGATTTGGGAAACAGGCTTTCATGCAGAGATTATTTTTAAACATGCCAGAAGCAGAGAAAGCAAAATCAACTATAGGTAAACTACTTAAAGGGGAAAATTGCCTTTGGAATATCTGATGCATGAATTAATGAACAATCTTCGCCTTGGAGACCTCTACCATTTTTGAAAGCCAAAGAACTTCTTAACATATGGAGATTGGTAAAAGTGGTGAAAAGCATAATTTGCAAAGCTCCACAGTAGAAATAATTTCTTGATTCCAAACAGTCTCATGATAAAAAATAAATAAATAAAAATGAGATGTGGGTGGAGGGAAATTGGCCTTAGCGATTTTATACCGCCCATCAAGGAGGGAGGTAACATGATATTTTATCCCACTAAAATGTAGGGGATTTGACCATTTTCCTTTGCTGAAAATATTGAATGTTAAGCTACCATTTTAAGTCTCAAAGATGTTTTCTTTTCCTATAACTTAAATTTCCTGGCCATGCCTGCCTCTTTCTCGTTTTAGATTTCAAGCATTAACTTGAAAATCAGATGAGACTTTCAATTGGGGGCAGGAATATTGACATTAAACAGGTTCAACTCCAAGCATATCTGGGAGCTGTCACATGCAGTTAGAACCACCTCATCCTGCCAAGTCAGGTGTTTACATGAAGCACAGGTAGCCACTCACTCAGTCCAGACACCTGATGCCACGCGATTCATGTACGGGACACACTAAGCCTCATCTCTGGCAATGGATTTACTTACCGGATGATAACAACTTTCTGCAGCAGTCAGAGTGAGCATTTAGGGCGGCTAAATGTAAGGGGAACATGCTATGGATTCCACACCTGAGGAGGGAAAAAGAACAACAACAGAGCAGCTCATGACAACAGATCTCAAGATACACGCATATCACCCTTCTAGAAGTTCTCTGACACAGGAGCTCTTGGCTGAAATAATTTTGTAATTCTTTGATTCAATAAATAATGATGCAATCATTTTCTTTTTTTAATATTTATTTTTTAGTTGTACACAATACCTTTATTTTGTTTGTTTTTTATGTGGTGCTGAGGATCCAACCCAGGGCCTCGCACATGCTAGGCAAGTGCTCTACCGCTGAGCCACAACCCCAGCCCGATGCAATCATTTTCTACCTTAAAATAATAAAATCCTGGATCTGAATAAGAATTAAAAGCCTCTAATCATAGAAATATATATTTTTAAGAAAATCTGTTTCACATAAACAAATACTTTTAAAAATTAATTTCCTTCCTGTTTTGTTCAGCTTAGTGGCTTAAGTCTCATTCACTCATTCACTCATGCATCTGCAGGACACTTTCTAAGCATCAGATACTATGCTAAGAGCTTGCGATAACAGTGCTGAGCAAGATACACTCTCAATGTTGAAAAACACTTGTTTTATTATTTGATTTGATAAAACAAATACTTATAATTGGCCCATGAGGTGATGAGCACTTTAAGAGTTAATAATAAATTTATTATTGAAAATAAAATTTTCTACAGGAATAAAATCTAATGTTTACCTTTTTCCAGTTAAATTCTATCTTTCTAATAAGACTTTTTTTTTTTAATGTTACACATTAACCCACACCACTACACAAAAACACAGCTAGGAGTGACAAACATTATTTTGGGTATATTTTATAAGCCTATCATATTTTTCCCAACAGAATAGCAGAAAGAGTCTAGAAAATAACTCATTAGATTGACCCCCACCATAACAGTCCTTGGGATGATTCTTTAAGGGACAGGCAGCCTTCTGATGGCAGCACTTTCTGATTTCGGAATTAAATCCTCTTCTTTCTCTTCCCTACCACCTCTCCTTGAACAAGGACCCAAAGCCACATGCTGAATCACAGTTCATTACAGAATCACAAGGTGGCTCCTGTGTGCTCATAGCATTTATCATGTTGGTGACCATTTCCCACAACATCTCATTTTAATCAAATAATACATTTCAGATTTTAAAAACCCTCTACATAACATGAGCAACTATGGGACTATGGCAGCATTAATTACCTAAGTTTCTTCTCTGAAACAAGGTGGCCCTTTTCAGATTTCATGCTTCATAAAGAAATAGTATGATTTGAATTTGTTAAGCTTTGGTTACATAGATTTTATTTGCCATCCCAGAAGTTATTATGTGGTGTGCAAATGTGTGAAAGTATATACATATCCACAGATATTTCATGGTATTCAGTGTTCTGCAAAATGTGAGTCTGTCAGCAATTAACCACCACTCCCTCTTTCCATGCTAACTTGTATTTATTAGTGTTTTTGTTCCATCTTCCCTCTGTTAGTTTTCCTTTCCCTATATGGAGATTTCCAGCTCAGTGTATATAATAGCTGGCATTCATCAAGAAATGCAATTTGCCAGTCTTCCGGGCAGTGTCATGTGGAGGAGAATTGCTTATAATTGCCTCTCTCATCATTTACCAAAAAAAAAAATCTGAAAAGCAATTGCATCAGCGATGACCTTGGTGCTCCTGAAAAGGAAAAGGGAGTTGGGGGATGGGGGAAAAGATTTTCCTTATATACTGTTATTTATATTGTTCCCTCTTTATTTAATAGACACATACTATTTAAAAAAAATGTATACAATGTTTTAAAGCACCTAAGTGGAATTTTAAGCTACTATAATTTTACCTAGCCATTTTATTTGTTTTGGGGAGTAAAATGTTAAAAATTTGTGATTCAATATCTCTGGACTTTTAGAAAAGGAAAATGAATAGGATAGTTTCAAGTTCCTGAAAGAACATACTTGAAATCAAGGACTGGATTTAAGATTTCTTTGGACCTACCTCATTCTTGAAATACACACATTAACACACACACACAAGGCGTCACATATACATTTTTGTAAAATATATCTTTACATAAAAGAACACAAGCAAAAGAGAAAATAGCATCAAAGTCTGTAAGAAGCCAATTGAGAAAAACAAAAAGTGACAAGTTTAACAGCAGCAACACTATAATATATCCCACTATAATATATCCCATAAAGTTCATTACCAATACTTGTCATCAACCTTGCCACCTTACCCTGTCTTTGGGTAATTCATTATACCCTACATTAGCTAATTATTCCATTGTTTTCAATTTACTAACAAAAGAGATATAGAATTACTCTAATTTAAAATTTCTAGCACAAATTCGGCTCAGTACACATTTTTTATTCTACAGTTAATAAAGTCACTACCTCAGTGTAGGTTTTGAAAATGTAATTGTGTGGATTCAAGTACTATTGGCATTTGAACTTGAATATGATACTATGGTTCAAATAGTGAAACTAAATATCAAGTCATAATTGGAAAAAAAAGAGAAAAGCAGAATTTAGAATCTCAGAATCTTGTCAGAAATTATCCATACATTTCAAAATAAAACTACTTCTTTGTTGTCATGAAATAAGACTGCTTATCAAGGAAGGATTATAAAACCTTTAGTAAGAAAATTAGGACTTGGCTGTCTTAGTCAAATAAAAAGCATCACTCCTATTCCATCAGGTATACATCAAGGCCCATCAAGAAAAAAGGTGCCAAAGAACCCTAAAGTTAACATGATGAGTTACAGGAAAGAGACCAATTCCAGTTAAATTGCTACATTTATTTGACAAGTCATAAAATTAATGGAACCCATTTGTATTTAGCTATTTCTAATTTGGCTGTTAGCTGGCATCTCCTACCCAGTTATTTCAGAATAAATGAGGTCTGAAAGACTGTCCTTGTCGAGAGCTATCAGAGGTGAAAAAAAGGCATTTTTGCCATTAGAATATGGGTTCTTTTATGGCTTCCCCTTCCTAACCCTCTCTTTTCTAGAGTCTTTCCTCTTGGCTGTGTGGAAGAGAACACTGTAATTGAGGTGTTGGGGTCATAAACTTTGGGTTTGAGTCCCACTTTTGCTACTTGTTAACTCTTTGATTTTTGGCAAGTACATAATGATTCCCTCATCAGGAAAATAAAGACAATTACAGCATCTGAATCATAGAGCAACTGGAAGGACTCGTTGGGATAATGCACCCCAAGTGCTAGAGCATCTGGCATGTGGTAAGCCTTTCCCATCCGTGTTAATATTATCACTACCCTTGTGATTATTGTTTCAAAGGATAATCAGCAGTCTGAGTGTTAAAGATGCAATCAGGTTGTACTTTCTTAAGATCAGGTGTGTGACTCCTTAGAAGCCAAGAATGAATGTGATTAGTCAGCATTTCTATTATTTTTTTCCATCTTTCTAAATATCTTACAACATTTATCTCACAAATCTTCTAGGGAAGAAGGATTGGTTTAGTTTTGCTCACTGAGTGGGTAAGACAAAAACATATCCTAAATTTAGAATAGGATGATTTTTATGATTTTTACTTGGATTGTCAGCCTAAATCTAAAAACCAAGCTTCTTATGAATTTTATCTATGCCAGTCTAGATATTTCTTATGTTCTACTAAGTGACAGGCATTTGTGTTTCTTTGCCAACAACGGGATCTGATCATTGCTATTTGTAATCTATAGGCATTTTCAGTGGTTCCTTTAGAATAAATCCAAATATTCTAACATGGCCAGAAAGACCCTTTCTGGATCTGGCCATTGTCCAACCTATGGGTATTCTAGAATCTCAGTGAATGTCTTTCCTTTCCCCACAAGAACTAGGCTCTGTTCTGACCCTACTCAGCATCTGTTCTGAGTCAAACTGCAGAAAGTACCCTGACTTATTAAAGTTCAGAGAAGCAAAAGAAAAACCAAAAATATTTCAATCAAGAGCTGAAAATAAGTTTTTTTTTTTAATAGCCCACCTGGGGATGCTGTGACAGTTAAGTGTACCCCCTCGGAGTGGTGCCTGGCACAGGTAAAGCACTCATGAGCATTTTCTACTACAGTATTGTCAAATTGTGCAATCAACACGAATGCTAGTGTTTTCTGTTTGCATATATATATATTTTTAAATATTTTTTTTATTTTTAGTTGTAGCTGCACACAATACCTTTATTTTTATGTGATGCTGAGGATCAAAGCTAGGGACTTGCACTAGCTTTGCTAGGCAAATGCTCTACCACTGAGCCCCAGCCCCAGCCCATGTTTGCATATATTTTATAATTTTAAAGAACTGCTGATATATTGGTGTCAAAAGCCAAAGGAATTTACATTTATACATATTATTATACTTATACATATTCAAGTAACATCATAATAAAAATAAGCCTATATTGAGGACCTAAAATACTCTATCAAAGCCTAATTATTGCTACTCATCCTTCAGTCTTGGTTAAACATTGCTTCTTCCTGGAAGCCCACCCTAGTCTTGCCAGACAGGATATGATGTCCCAGATATGTTTTCCGAATCCCAGAGGCACTGGCAATTGCTTTGATGTCACACTCTTAGCATAACTGTGATTGTTTGTTTAAATCCCCCAGCCCATGGATTATAAATTCCTTCAGGGTAGGGACCTCTTCAACCCAGAACCTGGCACCACGTGTGACACTTAACAAGCTCTCCACGAATAATTGATGAATGTGTGCCAGAGCCAGTTATCTGAATAACTATAGCATCACAAATCTGCTGCAGTGGAGGCAGGAAAAGACCTGAGAGCACACGTGGTGAAGTGGAAGGCAAATTAAAATCCTAGAGACAAGAGCCCCACACTTAACATAGGCGAAGAAGAAAACCAAAGGGCTCTGAGGCCACATAAAGTCCCATGAGCACTGAGTCATGCTGCAGAAAGTGCCCTGACTTCAAGTTCAGAGAAGCAGAGAAGAAAACAAACAAACAAAAGAACATTCTGAGGGCTGAAAATGACATTCAACTAAGTCCACAAGAAAATAATGATGATAAAACTTCTACAAAAAACTTTTAATATACATTTGGCCATATTGATTCTGAACCGAGAGGGGCATTTTAATAAATTTGATTAGTTAATTTATTTATAGAAAGAAAGGCCTGTTTTTCTCCTCTTTATTAAGTTATGCTACATAAATCAAAAAGGACCCAGAGATTTTCTGAGGGGCTTTCAGAAAATTAACCTCCTCCAATTACTTTCACTTTTTTTTTAAAGTTGTCAATGGATCTTTATTTTATTTATTTATATGCAGTACTAAGAATCAAACCCAGTGCCTCACATATTTTAGGCAAGTCCTCTACCAGTGAGCCACAACCCCAATCCCTCCCCTTCATTTTAATATTCCTTCTAAGGTGGATTTCCTTCTCTTGCACATAGAAGCACAAACAGACACACGTACACACTCACTGAACCAATGTCGCACAGCGTATTCCAAGATATCCCCGGACATACTGTGACAAAAGAAAGCAGACATGGCTTATTAAGGTTGGGACAAGGTTTTCTTTGTCTCTGTCCCTTGGACACAGCACAGCCAAAAGAAGGAAAGGCCACTTGAACAAAAATGTCATTTCCAAGGCACTTTACTATATGGTGTGTTTGCACAAATTGAAAGCAAAATAATTACAAGGAAATAAACTTTGTATTTATTGAATAAAATTTTTTTCTGGGGAATTTTAATTAAATATCAGTCCCAGTTTAGGTTTATCTCTAAAATGGATGCAAATGGATGGCAAAAACTTCCCTGATAACCTAAAGTTGAAGGAAACATACTACTGAAAATATTGGCACATGACAGGTAAAGCTGGTTGTAGGTATTTTACTTCTGCTTAATTAACACTGAGCAGTTCTGATCTCTGGCTTTGGATTGGGCCTGGCTGAGAACTTCAGAAACTGGGAAGGGCCTCCTAAGTCCTGCTGTCATACTCTTGCCACAAAACTGAGCTGGACTCTTTTAGGGACTACTATAATAGTCAAGCCAAGAAGGGCCTTGGCTTACAGTGGGTTCCTATCTCTTCTAGAAGAGACATCCTGCTGCTGATACTATTTATTCAGCATTTCCCTCCTCTGCAGGCCCTTAGCCTCCTCCTTAGCCCAAGACCTCATCTTTTCCTCCTGGGACATTTGCAAGAGTCTGCAAATGTCTGCCAACGATCTCCATCTGGACAGCCTCCAGAATGTCTGGATGCCTAATCACAATGATCTTTCTTATACACAAATGGGATCATCAGACACAGCTAGCCCCACCCACTTACAATTCCTTAGCAGCTTCCGATGCCTCGGAATGGAATCCAGTTCCTTGGCAGGACATGCAAGATCCCTTGAGATGAGGCTCTTCTTGCCTTTCTACCTCGTTTCTTCCTACCTCCCCACACATCAGAGCACCCACGTTAGAAATTTGCTTTTACCACATTCATATACTTGTGTCTTTATCAAGGCTGTTCCTTATTCAGGGAAGGTCCTTCCTTGCTTCTTCCTCTCTTTCTACCCTACCGTTCTGTCCACCTGAAAAATTCTTACGCATCCTTCCTTTTGCTGAAATGTCAACTCTTGTGGGGGACCCAGATAGTATTTCTCAAACTCTGTGAACCACAGCCGGGTCCAAACCTCCATTGTAACAAAACTTATAGTACTGTAGTCATCTGCTTTTGTTCTATCTCTGCCACTAGACTGGGGAGCCCAGAAGGTCATTAGAACCCAGTTCAACTTAATGTTGAACTGATGAAGGTAAAGCATTATATAGCACCAGAGTGTACCATATAATTCTCCATATAATTCACTTTAAGCCCAGGATACCAGGTCCTCTGTGAACCTGATTTAAAACATGATCCCATCACAAACTTCCCTGGACCATTTAAATTCTGGTTCATTTTCAATTCTGTTGCACAACATTTGACAAATAAACAGAATTCCTAACATATGCTGCCCTCATGTTCTTCTAAAAATTCAGTTATTGTTTGTAACCCACAGTCTGTGTGATGAAGGCTAAACTCTACATTCGGTCATTTAAAGTCCTCTTTAATTTGGTTCTATCACATATTATTAAGTAATAAAATAATAGTTAACATTTATTGGTAGCTTACTATGGGCCACATACCGGTCAAAGAGCTTTTCAAATGGATTATCTTTTTAATAACCTTAACAGATATATTTATATATCTCATATAGATCTTACCATATACCAGAAAGCTTAATTAGTAATTAAATCATTTAATCTTCATAACAAACCTATAGATAGGTACTATTATTACTCCTATTTTTCAAATGAGGAAGCCGAAGCACAGAGGGATTGTGCAATGGGCTCAAAAGTGAGACAGGTTGGACTGGAGCCCAGGGAGAGCCCAGCAAACCTGCGTTCCCCGACTCCTGCTCCCGTGCACCCCTGGACAGAGCACAGCACTGTCACATACCTCTACTCTGGAGGCAACCACTTTCCCTCTTTGGTTGCTCCTGTTTTCCTTCTTGTACGGGGTGGCTGCCGCCCTCTACTACACTCAGATGACCCTCATCCTCCAGAGCCTATTAAGACTCCTCTGCTCCATGAAGCCTTTTCAGAAACCTTTGCCAGTCTTGTGTTTTCCCCCTCCTCTCTATGTTCTACAGCATAGGTACCAAACATTTTGCCACTCAAGTCCCTTTCCATTCATGACCTTGTAATATAGACTATTTTGTATAGTTATTTGTCCTAAGTGAATTTTGGTCCCCAACAAAATTATGAGTACCTTATAGACACAATCTGGTAACTTCTTCTGAGTCCCCCCCAGGACCTGGCTCTGTGACAGAACTATGTGGTGGCTTTCTATATTTACATTCAACTATATGTAAAATGAAGTAGGTCCCTCCTTCCCTATGTGATAGATGAACTCAATTGTACTCCATAATCATCACACAAAAAAACTAAGCAAGAATCCTGAAGAAATTTCAAATTCGTCCATTTTTTTTTTCCTGTTAGGTTAACATTGAGCATTGGAAAAAACAGAAGAAAATTAGAAAGCAGAGTTAGGAATCAAGATTCCTAAATTGAAACCACTGGAAAGGGCCTCGTTCTGATGTAGCTGAAAAATAAAAAATGATTCTTCCCTGCGACTGTCATTAAAGACACTTAATTTATTTCAAATTTAATTTGTGGTTAGTCTAATAGTACAGATCCACCTTAATCTGACAAATGGGGACACTCCACATGCAGCAGCACCCCTTTGGCAGCATGCCTGTGTGTGACAATGACACCACTGTATTTTGCAGTAACCTACTTGGCAGTGTCAGCTCCGCTGGTTATTAAGGTGTTGATCAAAAGCTCATGACCGTATCTTGCAGCCACATGGAGAGGAGTGTTGCCATCCTTATCCACACAGTCAATTTCACCTCCTGAAAGAGAGATTTTAATTCAGCATAACACAAGGAATCAGGCGGATTCAGTTACTACATTCTTGCTAATCACTCATGTCGGCCAGATGTTGAATTTCTTTTCTACTCCACTGTGCATATCTGCTCTCAAGTACAAGAATATTTTTTAAGAACACAAGTCACTATCTGAAGTGGCAGTAGCACTATATCTGCAGAGAGAGAAGTCTACTAGAAATGCTTTGTAAAATATCTGTCCAGGGTTGGGGCTGTAGCTTAGTGGTAGAGTGCTTGCCTTGCATGTGGAAGGCACTGGGTTCCATCCTCAGCACCACAGAAAACTAAAATAAAGGTATTGTGTCCATCTACAACTAAAAAAAAAAAAATTATAAATCTGTCCGTATTGTTTTATTTAAAGATTTTACAATTAGATTTCTGCTCTAAATAAACAATAAAATCAAATTCCATAAAATGTAACTCTGAAGACATTTAATTTCAATTAAAAAATTAAAGACCTATGGAAATTTCATGTTAAAGCGTAAGAACTAAAAAGAACACAGAGATAAAGAAAAAATTCCCATGTGGTTTGATTATTTAACTTAAAATATGAGTAAGTAAAAGTAAAAACATAACTACAAACTGAAAATGTCTATATATTGTAGCTATCAAGTTAATTATAATTCTTTTAATATAATATTTCATCCTATTTTATTTTTGTCTCCTTTTCTCCCAACTTTTAATTATTTCACATTTCTTTTTTGTTATTGTTGTTGTAGTTGGACACAATACCTATTTTTTATTAATTTATTTTTATGTGGTGCTGAGGATTGAACCCAGGGCCTCACACGTGCTAGGCGAGCACTCTATAGCTGAGCCACAACCCCAGCCCCTTAATTTCACATTTCTTTCTCTCCCATTTTCATGTGTGTATATATGAGTTTGAATAAATATAATTGATCATTTATCTGAAGAACCATTTCAAAATAAGTTAGACATCATGATATTTCTCCCCAAGAATGTTTTTCCTGAGAGCAAGCACATTCTCACACATAAACACATTCTCTGTTATAACCAAGAAATTTAACACTGGTATAATTTTATGTAATGTACAGTGTATATTCTAATTTCTTCAGTTGTCCCCCAAGTATACTTTATAGTTGTTTGGTTGTTGTTTAAATATGAGATCCAATCAAAGACTCTGCAGTTGGTTGTATCTTTAATTTCTATTAATCTAAAATAATCCTCCTGCCTTTTATTTTTTTAAAACAAATAAATGGTGATATATAAATTTATATATATAATTTATATGACATATAACTATATATTATTTGTTTATTTATCTATCTATTTATTTATTTATGTTACCAGGAATTGACTCAGGAGCACTTAACAACTGAGCCACATCCACAGCCCTATTTTGTGTTTTATTTAGAGACAGGGTCTCACTGAGTTGCTTAGCACCCCATTTTTGAGGAGGCTGGCTTTGAATTCTCGATCCTCCTGCCTCAGGCTCCCCAGCCACTAGGATTATAGGCATGTGCCACCACACCTGGCATAATTTATAATATGTAAATATTATAAATAAATGGTGATTTTTGGAGACCAAATCAGGTTGTGTAGGATGTTCTGCCTTCTGGAGTTGCCTGAGGGTTTTCTCATTATTAGATTTGGGCTAAACATTTTAGCAAGAATGCCATTGAGCTGATGAGTACCTCCCACCACATCTCAGCACACACAAAGGTTGAGTCATTCCATTGTTGGATGATACCAAGTTTGATTATTAACAATGGGCACAGAGTTTCAGGATGGAAAGGAGGAAAAGTTCTGGAAATGGTTGGTGCTGATGACTGCACAACAATGTGAATGCACTCAATGCAAATGAACTGTTAATTCTTAAAAATGATAAAGTGTAGGCTATGTATACTGTACTTCAATTAAAAAATTTTTTTGATTATTTGATTAATATGGTACCAGGCCTGGGGATGTAGCTCAGTGGTAGAGCACTTGTCTAGCAAGTGTGGCCCTGGGTAACATCCCCAGAATTGAAAAAAAAAAAAAAAGAAAAGGAAAAAAGAAAAAGAAATAAATAAAAAGGTGCCTACCAGCACACCCCAGTACAGACAGGTCTTTCCCCTTTGTAATTTATAAGCAATTCATGTGGTGATACTTTGAGACTGTGCAAATATCCAATTCCAAACAGACTTTCCCACCATGACTTTAGCTTATACAAGGAGTACTTTGTTCAGAATTGACCTGACTTCTTTACTCTCTGTACTTATTTTATCATTTTGATATATAGTTGGATTCATTTGATTCTTTTTATTTTGAAAAAAAATTACTAGGTTTGATTTATTTTACTAATATGTAAAACATTTACACATTTCAAAAGTCAAGATTGTATTTTTAGAAAGCCTCTCACTCTCATTCCTATTTCTTCCATTTCATCCCCAACCACTTCCTATAGTAACCGTTTTGTTAGTCTTGGTTTATGCGTCTGTGTTTCTCCTTTCACTTACTATATCCTGGAATTCACTCCTAGAGATCATTTCTTAGAGCTAATCCTTCTTTTCTATAGAACTTCATCATTTTCTATTGCATGGATGTATTAGTTTTGCTATAATCAGGAAGACTACAGGTAATAACATTAGTGTACACTGTTTCATATTGGTCAGATGCATCTTTAGTGCAAATTCATAGAAGGGACATTTAGTGACTAAAGGACAACTGAATATGTGGTAGTCAGAGTTTGCCAGATTTCTTTCTGTGCAATTCTGCACTCCAACCAGCTTGCCCACAGCCTTGTCAAGTTTTTGGATACCTGCCATTTGTCGAGTGGAACCTTGGTGGAGCTTTTATTTGCATTTTTTTTTTATTACAATGGAAGTTGAACATCTTTCCATGTATTGAAGAGCCATTTATTTTTTTCTATGAAATTTTTTTTGTGATTTTTGCCCATGTTTAAAAATATGTTTGTGTGGCCTTTTATTCCTTGATTTTTCCATAGCTCTTAAACATTTAGGAAATTACCAATTTGTCAGTAATACATGTCACAAGTAATTTTTCCCAGGTTTTCATTTTTTTTGTTTGCTTTATTTATGGTGTTTTTATCCTGTAGAAATAATTTTTTGCTTATATATAAGTCTTTTATTATTTGGGTTTTAGGTTGTTAGAAGGGCTTCCTCTACATTCTGGTAACGAAGAAACTAGTACATGTTTTCTATACTGGAAAGGTTTCATTTGTTAGTTGAAACATCTGATTCATTTGGAGTTTATTTTGGTAATGGTGTTTTAGTTGACTGACTAAATAAATGTTCTCTAAATGCCAGAAAGAATCAAAGTCCAAGAAAAGGACCTGAACAATTCAAAGAAACAGAAAATAGATTAGCTGTTGCCAGGGACTGGAGGAGGGAGGAATGGAATGGGGAGTGACTGCTAATGGGCATGAGGTTTCCATTTGGGGTAAGGAAATGTTCTAGAATTAGATAGTGGTGACGGTTGTGCAACCTTGAAAAAATTCTAAAAATCCACTGAATTGTATGTTTTAAAAGGTCAACTTTTATGATATGTAAATTATATTTCAGTTAAAAATGGAAATATCTGAAGAAACTACAGAAAAAAAGATGAGGAAGTAAAGGAGGCATAAGCACATCAAGGGACGAGGGTCACAATGTATGCTTGCCCTTATCTGAGCTAATATGCACTTGTCCTTTAATAAAGGAAAACACCCAATATATTGGGGCAAAGAAGTAAATTATTCTGAGGTTCTATTCATTGACCATTCTGTATAGGAAAAAATTTCTGCATCATTATGAAAATCTCTTAAGTTATTGGATTATCACAGCATGCTCTTAAATATCAAGTATTTTAGAGTAGGAGTTATCAGAAAATTGTGTTTCACAAAATAATCTACAAATTTCTATTAATTTTGACCATGCTTCCATTATTAATTACATTGACCTAAATAAGCAATATTAAACTAAAATATACTGTTATAAGGTATGCTAATACTATAATGTTCAGTGTGTATATCTAAACTGTGCATATATACTTATATTTTCCAGAATGAGAAATCTAAAATCCTAAGAAATGTAAAGATTATGTAAATGGCTTTGTTCAATCTAGAAAGATATGATACATTTGTTTTAAGTAACATTTCTGATTGAGATAGTAATTTTCTTGTCATACAAACTTTAGAAAATTCAGCAAAATACAAAAAGGAAGAAAGAAGTCATATAAATTTCATGATTATTCTAGATAGACAATATTAATATTCTGGAATATTTGTGTGTGTGTGTGTGTGCATGTGTAAAATTTTCCCATGAGATCATAGTCTGGAAAATTTTGTATCTTACTTTCTCCCTTAATGTTACATCACAATACTTTCCAGATTGTTTTTTTTTTAAATTAATATAACTGTAACTGGCTCTAGAATATTAGGGTTTAGAAAATTTACTTAGCAAATGCCCAATTACTAAGCAATGAAGCTATTCCCAAATTCTTGCTATTAAGAAAACCAGAAATGAACATCTCTACAAAAAAGTTCAGATTATTTCTCTGCAAAATTTTTTAGAAGAAGAACCACTGGATCACAAAAGTATGAATATTTTTTAAGGCTCTTGATAGATAATAATATCTGAGTAGCCTTTTATTCTCATAAATTCTACTTTGGGGCATTATGACCAACAACCTCCCAAAATTTGTTTTCAGTGAAAAATATTTATTTTCTGAAAAATATTTGTTTTACATTGGTAAAACACAGAATTAATGAAAGAGAATCTTTGCCACTAAGTGAAAATTACGAAAAATGTGTGGGCCTTGTGGAGGGAGCAAATGCTTTAAAAAGTGCCATCAGCACACAGGGAAGATCACACGCTTCACTCTATCACCAAGACTTCTATGTGTAAGAATTCACTTGAAAGTCAATCTAGTGCACACATGGGGTGTGCAATTCAATAGCTGTTTGCAAAAGAGGTAATTCTTTCTTGACCTTGACTGTGACAGAAAGATACAAATGGCAACTTGAACCTAAAATTCTGATCTTTTTTTCAAACCTTTGCTTCTGTGGTACAATGGTTATTATTAAAACAACTTGTTCAAATAAATAGTGACAGTTTCTATAAAAGTAATAATTACCTATGTGTAACTTTGTATACATTCTTAAATAAACAGAAAAATCCAAAAGCTTTACCAAGTTGCAATAAAAATTCTGGAGTTGGAGTTGGAGAACATGATGGTGGGGATCATGGGAGATTTCTTTAAAGATTTCAGTTTATACTGAGCGTGGACTAATTTTATAATTGTGAAAAATAATAAAGTTAGCATTGTGAACTTCTAGGGACTAAAGTGAAAGTTCACTATGATCCGATTTTAGAAGAATCGAATTTAGATCAATTCATTTTTATGACTTGATGGTGGCTTTGGGGATAGGTGGCCATTTGGGCTGTATGAAATCTCAGATCAATCTAGGGTGCATGGATCTGTGTGAGGACTGTCCACAGCGATCCGAGAGGTTCAAACATGGAACAGATCTGGGAAGATGGGGAGAGGGTCCCTGAATTCAGAGAAGCCTTTGCCCTGAAAAACACTGTCACTACACATCCTTCACAGCCAAAAGCCATCAAACCATTCTTAAGATGTATTAGAGTCTCCAGTTTACCAGCTTCAAATATAAAAAAATTGAGTACAGAAAGAATACAGTGAAAAATATCAGGCAGTGTAGAATAGAGGGTCTGAGCTGATAAAGTCTCTTTTTATCGTGGTTAATATCATTTTAAAAGTCAATTAAAAGTCATAGAAATATAATTATCATCCCCATACACTTTTTTAAAAATATTTTTTTAGTTGTCAATAGACCTTTATTTTATTTATTTTTATGTAGTGTTGAGAACCCAGTGCCTCACACATGCCAGACAAGTGCTCTACCACTGAGCTACAATCCCAGCCCATCATAAGCTTTTGTTTTATTTAAAATACATTCCAGGAAAGCATAATAGCAGAAAAATAAAAGACAGCATATTTGTTATCTGAAAATGTTTTCTATTAAAGTAAAACCTAGATAAGTAAATTTCTATTTTATAATCACTCCATAAATCTTTCCAAGTCCACTTTAAAATCTTTAAGACTTGCTTGGAATGCAAATTAAGTATCTTTACTATTCATCAGAGGGTTACAAGTTAAATGTTGGTAATTGATCATTGATAATTACTGAGGAAAATAAACATTTGCAAGTTTAAAAGTATGCAGAGCATGTCAGAAGGGATAATTAATCAGTATTATGTAAGCACCCATCTGAAATTAGTATTTCACTGCACAAACAAGAATGGTCATTTTATTAAGTTGCCTCAAATGGATTGTGAGCCAAAAGGTCAAAAATCTTACTGTGAGTCATCGTAACCTAGTATTTGACTCTTCCTGCACAAACTCTTATTTATTTTTAAAGCTTTGTGAAGAAACCATCATTTTTGAACTTTCATAACTTGCTGGACAGCATCTAAGGCAGCTGCCCAGTGACAATGGCTGGATCAAATGCTTCCTGGTACCAAATCTTTCAGTTCTGTTCCCTCTTTGCTGTGATAATGCAGTGTCAGAGAACAAACTGTGATTTGACAACAGAGGTAAAAAGAGTTATTTTTTAAATGATTATCTTATAAAAGCTGAATGATTCTAGAAAAACAAAGTTAATAGAATTAATAACCTTGATTGGAGAGAGCAGCATGGGAATCAGAGCTGCCATGTACCAAGTCAAAACACCAAAGCAACTTAACAAAACAGACAAATAAATACAAAGGACATTCCTCAGTGTATGCGCAGGTGGCTCAGAAAGCCTCTGGCCCTGTGGTAATGCACCCCCAGCTCCTGGAGGACAGAGGGTCTCCTGTGTGTTTGTGTTGTGACCTACTCTGGAGGACTGACAACAGGCCCTGAAGTGTGAGCCTCTGGGGAGGAAGGGTCTCAGCTGTAGCTCAGAATTTTTCCCAGAAGGAAGCAAATAAACAGGAAGGAAAAAAAGAACTTCCTATTCTCCCTAAGGGCATTAAAAAAAAAATGTCCAAAATGTCAAATGGAAGAACTCACAGTTCTCACATGTATAATGAAGGCAAAGAAATGCCAGCTGAGAGAAGGGAATACCAAATTCCCTTCACAGGGACAACCCTATTCCTATACATGCCTCTAAGAGTAAATAGTTTAAATTTTTTTTTTTTTTAAACATCATTGCTCTTCCAGAGAATGTGTGGACAAGGGCAGTGGTTAAGAGTTGCACCTGCGATGTTAGATTACCTGTGTTCTGATCCCTTTCCTCAACGTAATGGTCTTGCCTCCCAATACCAATGTCAACCTCTCTTCCTCAGTTTCTCCATTTTAAAAGGGAGCTAATAAGAGCACCTCTTTCTCATAGGGTGGTTGAAAGGGTTTATATGGGATTTACATAAGTGCCTGACACAAGCTAATGTTTGCTTTATCATTATATATCATGGGCTATATATTGTAGCTACCATTTCTTCATTGATTCAGGACTTTGGGCCCCACCTGATCCACAAGCAATAAGTCAAGCCAGCCAAGAATGAGACAAGCTCTAAAACAAAGACCCCCTGAACACAGAGGGTAAGAGATGGGGTTTCTTTCAGGTCTTGCTCCAATTCTAAAGTCCGGCAAGAATGCTCAAGAAGTACATGGAAGACCTTGAGCCCCTATGCTGGCTCATGAAGAGGTCAAAGCAGCCAGCAGTCCTCTAGGACTGATGTAAGCATATTAGCATGACTGAGGAGGGCTCTGGGGATGACGAGGGGCCGGGCAAAGGATAGACCTCTAGGAAAGTGGCATTTAAAAGGTGAAAAACTGTTCTCTCTCCAACATAGTCTTTGTGGCTTGAGGCTGCTTTAATGAGAAACAAAGATTTTTAGGCCACAAAGCTAAGGCCCATTGATTAAATTCACATTATATTTTTTAAAAGGGTTTGTTTTTAAGGGGATAGGCATCATTTCTGTAAAACAGTCTAGAAATACAGTGGGATAATAAAAAGTGTTCAAAAGAGGAAGACTAGGGTCACCTGTCCCCGATATTTATATCCAGTTCCCTTCAAAAAAATGGATGTCAAAGGCATGGCACATATTTCAGATTATAAATAATGAATGTTGTATAGTAATTTCCATTTTACCTTCCTTGGCTCACTGGAAACTTGTTAGGATTTCTCTTCTACAGCTTCACTGAAGTGCTTATAAATTTCCTCTGCTTTGCTGCAGATATTTTGCTTCCTAAGCATAATTTCACTGGCTGGCCTTTTATCCACATGCCAGAGGCCTTTCAGTTTTATGACATAAGCACCTAAGACATAACTCAATGCACTAACCATTCTAGGGCATGTCACCCAAAATTCTTACAAGATGAGAAAAATACAGATCTAAGAAAACTGACTTACATTAGAGTTTTGAGAAGTGAAAATATGGGTCAGCTAAAAAAAAGTTTAGGAACTACCAAACTGACCTAGAATGTCAGCTTAAGAGATGAACTCAACCTGCTTTTCTTTTCTTTTCTTTTCTTTAACTGTCTTTAAGATTTGCTGAGGTAACATAAGTTGTATTATCAAAGTCAACCCACTCATGCTGTCCGTGACCTACAACAGTAACATGAAATATGATAGTACGTGACACTCCCTGGTACTTTGGCTTCAGAGACAGCCCATGATGATTCAAGTACACCTTTGTTGTAAGCCTGGAAAAGTATAATATTATGTGACCTTCCAAGGTCTCTGTCAAGCCTGGGATTTTATTTATATCACATACTTACCTGCCTTTCTTCTGAGTCCTCTCCTTTTTCCTACCTCTGCCCAAGTGACTTAATGAACTTTAGCTTAGGGAGCTACAGTGAATTCTAAAATCTAAAAATAATTTGCTGCTAGAAAATGTAAGCTACTTGTCATTATTTGTTTCAGAGTAAAAAGTACATAATCATAGGGTTTTTTTAAATACTTATTTTTTAGTTGTAGTTGAGCACATACCTGTACTTTACTTATTTCTTTTTTTTTTAATGTGGTGCTGAGGATCGAACCCAGGGCCTCTCACATGCTAGGTGAGTGCTCTACCACTGAGACACAACCCCAGCCCCATAATTGTAGTTTTCTATACCATTACCAATTTCAAAGCTCACATGCCTGGCTGGGAATTGACTGTGAAACTATGGCTTTATGTTCTGTTAAGGAGAATGTTGATGCTATGTCTGATAATGAGCTTTTAGCAAAGTCTGTCAAGGACTTTTGTAAATCTATGCTTACTAAAACTCCGAAATAAAGCACCAACTTTCACATTAAGATGACTGACAGTCAAACTCAGACCAAGAAGCAGTTCAAATAATGACACAATGGAAGCATCTCTCTTACCATTCTGAATGAGGGTTTGTGACCGGGTGAACCTTCCATGGACAGCTGTCATGTGCAGTGGACTTTTGCCATCTTTACTCTAACAACAAGAGAGAGGGAGAAACAAGGAAGGTGTTTATGTGCTGGTGACATCAATCTCAATCAACCCTCTGGATATTGTTGACAATGCCCAAAAACATCAATTTCAATTTTTTAAAAAGTCTGATCAATAATTACAAAGACTGATAATTTTGGAAGAAAAAAAAAAAAAACATGAATGGACTCTCAAGTTACTGTATAACATCACATTTTAAAGAGGTTTGGAGAGGCAATCATCCAAAATATTTTTTCCTCCTCTCTTGTGATCCACTGACAAAGGAAGTTTACTTCAAGGTGTTTTTTTCAACTTTTAAAAAGACAAATGATGTATGAACTTGTGTGGTTCCTATTTGACCTGTGGTTGATAAAACTACTATTAATCACTGCAACTGTCAAAACCAACAAGGAACACCTTCCCCTACATTCCAGTTCCATAGAAAAATAACACTTTTGACTATTCCAAAAGAGAATCCCTGGCTTTGGATTACTCAATAGAAATCACAGAATTAAGCCATGCAACTATTTAGGAAATTTCCATTTTAATGATCAGGTGGAAATATGTGCTGAATTTATATATTTGCTACTTATGATAGGAATTATGGAACTTCACAACACATATTAAGCTAAAATATTAAAAATGAACAGAATCTATATATTGATCATTATCTTACCAAAGACCAAAGTTCTACATATTTAATTAAGAAATAAAAATTTCTTCTGAAAAAGAACCCAAAAGAAAATACCACTGTTATTTCAGACCAAAAGCATATAGAGAGAATGGACAAACTGTTCCCAACTTATAATGGTTCCCCTAAATGATTTTTTGACTTAATGATGACACAAAAACAATTCACATTTATTAGAAACTGCACTTCAAATTTTGAATTTTGTTCTTTTCCTGGACTAACAATATGTGGCAGCAACAGCGAACAGGAGTTTTCAGTCATGAGAGCATGAGTGTAAACAGTGGGCACTCAACAGTGTACTATGTTGCCAAGCCGTGATGTTCTGTAGGTTAGATGTGTTAAATGTATTTTCAACTTATGATGGATCTATGAGGGACTTAACCTTATCATAAGTTAAGGAGAATCTGTATTCTCGTTCAAGTATTTAAAAAAAATCATGTCACTATTACTTTTCTAAATTTTATTAGACATATTTCTCTAAGCCTAAGGTTAAGTTATGAAGTTTCAAAATGCATGGTCATTTTTGTGACAAAACTTAAATAACTATGCTTTAAAATGACTTCATTTTAAAAACTCCACATTGAAAAACAATCATTTAAATAAGTATTTTCTTAGGGTAAACCAAAGCCCACCCATATCTGAATCACCAAAATTCTTGTTAGAAATATGGATTCTAGGTCGGTGCAGTGGCACATGCCTGTAATCCCAGAAGCTCCAGAGGCTCCAGAGGCTGAGGCAGGAGGATTGTGAGTTCAAAGTCAGCCTCAGCAAAAGCAAAGTGCTAGGCAACTCAGCAATATAAATACCTCAGAAAATATCTCCATATATATATATATATATATATATATATATATATACACACACACAAGGATGTTGCTCAATGGTTGAGTGCCCGAGTTCAATCCCTGGTACCCCCCCACCACCACCACCAAAAAAAGGATTTAGGGCTTATGCCCTAATCCACACTTATCAAATTGGAATTGCGGCCATGTCTAACTCTACACAGTGACTAAAGTCTTAGAGCCACTATTTTAGACTGTGAACTTAAATAGCTTATAAACCCACAATGTTTTGACAGAAGAATTTTAATTTTATCCTCTGATCCTATTCCTGAGGAAAGGAGTCACATAAAGTCAGTGCCAAAGAAAGAGTTAATCAGAGTGGTCATTGCATCTTGACAGAAGAAAATAAAATGCTGTCACATAGATGGTGGAGGAAAGTCATAATAGAATCCATTTGACATGATTATAACCTGAATAAGAAAATACTGAGAATGGAGGATGGAAGTAAGCGTGATGCTTTATTGAAAACAATATTTTTAGAGGAAAAGGAGAAGCAATTGAGAGCATGATGATACGGCATCATCGCTACCCACGAGACTCCTATTTACCATTCAAATAACTGAAAAGCCTGGGAACTACTTTGGAATAAGGATTTAAAACATACTCTTCCAATAAAAAAAGTGATGACAGTCCAAGAATGTTAAGGAAAGAGAAGAGAGAAATTCCAGAGTTGACATTAACTTGTCCCTAGGTGGTGCTATTTCTTTAAATTTTGCTCCAGAATTTTCTCTTAAATTTAATATGAAAACATAGGTAATTATCATTTAATTAACTATATATAAAGTCATAATACTTCAGTGTTTAGAAAATATATTCATGAATATATAAGAACTTTCCCATGCCTGGAAAAGAGTTTAAAAGACTTACCAAGGAGGACAGGCTTGGTAGCTAGTGAAATTGCAGACAGAGTCAAAGCAGAAGTAACTGGTCTCTGCAGTGCATAGTTTGCAAAGCTGGTGCCATTTCAGGGATAGCAAACACCACGCCCTTTTTCTCCCAAGAAGTGCGTATGCCTCTGATAAAGGGACAAATACTGCTAATTCCCCCCATAGGGATACAGGTGGCAGAGGTGGGGAAGATGGGGACCAGAACTATGAAGAGTATCGTGGCAGCCATTCAGGGGCAGCTTTGTTCATGAGTGGATACAGAGGGAGCTCATTATTTCAAAAAGTCATTGAAAAGCAATGGAGCTCAAAAGGATCATTCCTTTTATTTAGCCTCTAGAAGTTGGAACTCAGAATATTTAGGTTGAAATTAGGGATCCTACTAGATTTCATTATTTGCCTAAGAAACTTTTGTTGTAGAAGACTTGGCTGTTATTCTTGAATCAAGAACTTCAGACAAGGGTAAACACTGCCTGCATTCTCTTCAGAGAGCTTATACTCAAGTCCTTCATTTATTCATAGGCTTTCCTTTTATAATTTTTTTTTCTTAATTTTTGGTCCAATTTTCTAGAAACATTTTTTTTTCTAGAAACATAGATTTGGGGCTTAGAAACTTTTATTTTGAGAATTCACTTAATTTAAACAAGAAGCTCCTTTGTTGATTCAGGTATGGCTGTGCACTAAAACATAAAGGAAAACCAATGAGCATCGAGAGTATTTTAGAACAAACAGTAGTACCTTTTCAGGGCAGAACTCAACCTCATCCAAGGAAAACCAATCCTTGAACTAAATGAAGTGTTTCAATCTTCTGGACCATTCTTTCTCTCAGAAATGCACTAATTCTTTTCTTCTATTCCTAAACCTATCTCCTTATCCTCCAACATCCTCTAAACCATCCCTAAACTTCTAGATACTCCCCAGGGACCAGAAAGCATGATATTCTCTAAGTCATGGAGCCACCAAAAGTTGTACAACTCAGTGGCCCTGCGGGATGGCAATGAAGCCTCCTATGGGATTACACTGAGGCCACTGGAGTGCAAGCGTATCAAACACAGTTGGAAACCCCACAGGCGCTCCTAACTCAGTAAAAGAGTCATCTAAAGGCTGGTTTGAAAAAGCCACACACAATCCAGTTTATTTTTAATGGTTCTAAATGCCAGAGATGGTACATGGTTGGCTCAAACATTCATTCCCCTCCCTTCCTTACTTCCTCTCCAGAGTTCCCAGTGCCACATCCTATCACTGCTTACTCTTGCTATTCCTCTTTGCACCTTCAATTTGTCTACTACAACCCATTCTATAATTGGGTCCTGGTACATATAAAGAAGGATATGGGCCCACTTTAGCAGACATTTAATGCTAGGGCTAAATGATCCAAGGGCCCAGAGACAGAAAGAAATTGAGACCACAGGTAGGCTAAATGTTAGTGACTGGGAGGTAGCAAACCAGGCTATAGCAATTTCTAAACCTGTCTTCCTAAGTCTTATCCAGTGTGGCTATGTGTATAGTGCCTTATTTAACCCTCACTTTGAATGCATGCAAAAGTACCCTTAAGATGCAACAGAAATTACAATGTGGTCTGTAACGAATAAGAAAAATGACGTGCTCTTCCTATTTGCAAATTACAAGTGAACCTTTAGTAGATGATTTTATGAAATGTCATGTCTTTATTATTTAAACTAATATTGCAAAGTCAAAGGTAGGGCCATGGTCAATCTATGTAAAATGAAGGACTGTAAAATGTGTGCAGATCACGTGTCCCTCCTCCTCTTCCCATCAATCTTGTAACTGCTCATGAAGACATCACTTTTAGTGTTTTGTAAGAATAGAGGAAAACAAAGTGAACATGTGGGTGGGTATTGGCTGCATTTCAATATGCTATTTCCCTCAAACTTTGGGAAATCTAAACAAATACAAATTGTCTTGCATCTACAAACATTTTCAAAACCCAAGGAGCAATGTGGTACAGAAAGATAACAACTTTAATTAGAAAGCTACCTCCAGAGTCAGACAGGATGGCTCTACGGAAATGTTAGATGATCCGTGCATCCAGAGTGCATCTGGAATCACTAAGGAGGATTCAAAGGGCATTAGGAAATCAGAGCATGTAGACAGAATAGATGAAAGGAGATTGAGGAAGGCTAGATTTTATTCAAAACATCTCTTATGCTGATTAGATAATAAACTCAAGTCTCATATTTTAAAATCCCATTTCTTATATTCTGTTTAAGATCAATAGTCCATAGCAAAAAACTTGAATATTAAAATTAAGAAAATATACTTTTCAGGTCCATTTGTGGGAAAGAAGAGAAGACTACCAAAATCACTGTACATATACAGTTGAAGTCCCTTATCCAATCTGAATGGACCACCAGTCCCTTAGCTGAAAGGTGTAGGCCAGTATGCCAGAAAGTAGCCTTCTAGCTTTAAACACTGGGCACATGGAGAATATGGGGCCATGTTTTTCAGAGGAAATGGTGAGCCATGAGTTCATTAAGTGGAGGGTGGTAAAGATATTACTTTATTTAATTTTAACAATTTCCTTCCTTTAGAGGATCCACAGGAAAACCCTCATACACCAGGATGGCAAGAAGATGTCAACAGCCCTGGACATTGATGGTCAACCTGAGTGCTTTTTGCTCCTTGCAACCATGTTCTGTGATCCCACCCAAAGACTCTCTCTGCACCTTGCGCTGCAGCTCCTCTGTCTCTTCAGCACCCAAGGACCTTTGTCTATCTCTTCTTGGGAACTTGGGTGGGATCCACTAACAGGAGGTGTAACTCTGAGGTTCTCTTCATCTGTTCCGTTTTCCCTTTCCTGCCCACCTTGCACCTTTAGGAAGATCCTATGCTCCCTTCATTTCTTTCTTCCTTCTCTTATTCTTCTTCTTCTTTTTTTAAAATTAAATTATTTATTTATTCTAATTTGTTATACATAATGGCAGAATGCAATTCATTTCATATTACACATATAGAGCACAATTTTTCAAGTCACTGATTGTACACAAAGTATTTTCTTATTCTTCTTTTTTCATCCCTTTCTTTGGCTCTTCCCTCTCCTCCTGATCCTAAGTAATGGGCTCCTGAAGTCCTCCCTTCCCTCTCTAACTCATGCTATCATATGCTCTCATTCTTTCCTCCCAGTTTCAACTATCACCTTTATGTGAACAAGACAACCTAAATTTTTCTTATATTCTCTACTGCTTTCCCATGCTGGAGGATCATATTTTCCATTACTAGGTCCTCAGACTGGCTGTACCAAAGGCTCAAAATCATCTCTTCAAAAACGAAACTCAACAGGTTTTCCTCCAATACCAGCTTTCTCCTGAATTCCGTTTTAATGAATATTAACAATGGTATTCATTTATTAAATGCTTAATGTGTGACAGCCATTAGCCTATGTGATTTAGGTGTGATAACTCCAATTAATTCTCACAACAGCTCCATGAAGAAGATACTATTGTTTCCTGAATTTTGCAGATAAAAAAAACCGAGACATGCAGAGAGGTTGCTTATGATTAAATAGTTATTCAAAATCAAGGCTTGGATTGAAATCTAGGCAGTCTATCTTCAGAACTGAGAGCTTATCTACTTTGCTCTATTAACTCTCACTAGGTTCATTAGATTCACTACACATAGATTTTCTTTTTTTCCAAAATAAGAATAGTTAACTTTTTATTTTGGATATAAAAATAAAAATAAATAAATAAATAAATAAAAATAATATGTGTCCATTGCATCACAACCAGAAGATAAAAAACAGTATACAAAAAAGAAACTAAAATTCCGAATCATAATTTCATCACCCTACAGTGACAAAATTTTTATAAATTTTTTTCTACATAATTTTTTTTTGTTTGTTTTTTTGTTTTTTTTTTCTACATAATTTTTAATCACTCTGTAGTGATAACTGATGCTAGCATATTGGTATATAATCTAAATATTTTCTTTTTCTATCTTTCTATGCATATATACAGACAAATAATTTTTTAAAACTAAAAAATGTGATCATAGTTACTGATTGCATTAAATTTTTTCTGTGATAACATTGAGTCTCATTATTCTTTTTGATATTTTCCAATCTTACAGGCAAATATTTATTTCTGTTGTCTTCATTTTTCTAATTACTAAATATTTTTCATCAGTTTAATGGATATTATTTTCTCTCTCTTGTTAACTGCCTTTGCCTAAATTTTCTAGTAGATTATCAGACATTTTCTTGTTGGTTTGTATGTGCTCTTTATAAATTAAGCATATTAACTTGTGCCTAGCATGTTAATTGCAGAAAATTTTCCCTGGTTGTTCCTCTTGATTTTGTTAGTTTTGTTGTTGTTGTTGTTTTGTTTTGCCATATAAAAACTTCAAATCATTATGGAGTAATATATATGTATATATTTTTTTCCTTTACATTTTCTACCCTTGGTGTTCTATGGTCAGATTACTGTTTCTAATGCTCCCGTCTGATCACATGATTCATGGTCCCATAGCATATGGAAGCCCAAATTCCTCAGCTGGTAGATGAGCCATCTTCCTTGGTTGTGTTACATTTCTGGTTATTTATTTCTGGTTCCTCTCTTTTATCCAACTTAAACTCTATATTCAATTATGCCAAATTTCTCTTCTGAATATTTGCCCCATATGTATGCAATACTAGAAATTATGAGAAAAAATGTAAAAAGATTTTAATGATAAACAGACAAGATCATTAAAATAGATCAGTATGATATTTTTTAAATTAAACCTTAGAAATTATAATTTTTCAAAATCAGAAATGGAATGTACTAGGACTTTGCTTTAGGATTCCTGTTTGCTCAGGAGAAGGGAAGCTGAAATTGAGGATGGTCTCCTGGTGCAGGAAGGATGTTCTGCTGCAATTCAAGGGCATTTGAGTGTAACTAGATGATAGATGGTGCATGCACAGGCTTGCTTTGGTTGGCCATCACAGCGAGCTAACTAGTTTCCTAAGTTGTACCCTGAGCTTTTCCTACTCACAATTCCTATCTCCTGTGCTCTTGCTGTTCTCTATATTAATACCTCTCTCAAATTATCCCTGTGCTCCTCCTCTCAACTGATAATCTTCTCAGCTCAAAATCAACCTCCATTTTTATCCTCAGATGAGAAGCAGGCCATCTCTTCTACTCCATAATGCTTTATTACTCTCTCAGGGTACTCTATATTGCAAATTCCTTACTGGCAGAAACCATATATCCTCTTGGAGTATTCCTTCATTTCCAAACAAAGGGCACTAGGTAACCCTTAATAAATTTGCTAAATAAAGAAATGACCATTAGGACCAAGTCATTGCTACATCACTGAAGCCACTGCCAGTATTTGTAGCTTGCTCTAGGAAAGTATTTGAGGGACATTCTGGAAACAGGCCTATAATCATTAGTCCTTCCTTTGAATTCTCAGCAGCTGTGCCCTAATCTCTGCATTAGAATCTGGGCTGAGTCAACATCCTTGTGACCCAGTATTTTCCCTAGGGCATTAACTAAGCCACCAAGGACACATGATTAGAGCCTCAGTGCCTTCCATCTGGTCCCACCACACCTGTAGAAGCAAAATAGCTATTTCTGAAGCATTTCAGTCCAGGAAAATGCCATGTGCCTCAAGATGCTCAAGGCTGCCATCCATTTATACATGGTATAATTTATAGCAGTTAGTTTTGCTCAAATAGAGCTCGATGCAAAGGTATTTAACACAGAGAAAGACTAAGTGTTGTACCTGAATGTTAACATCTGCCCCATTGTTTACTAACAATTCCAGGCACAAAGCACCATGAGTGGAGGCAGCAGCAAAATGCAAAGGGGTGAAGCCGTTGTTATTTGGTTGGTTCACATTAGCACCATAGTCAATCAGCTCGTTAACTACAGCGTCCTGTCCATTGTAGCAGGCGATGTGAAGTGCTGTATTTCCATAGACATTGATTTCATCAATCTGCAAAAGAGTCCAACACAGGGCAATTAAAATCACTGGAGCCAATTTGCTCCATTTTCCACAAAAAGCCTAATGGCTGTGACTAGAGAAAGGAAATATCCATCCATCAACATAATTACTCAGAGCTTACTCTCACCACAGCAGGTTATCCTGGGAATGCTTGTCACCCTGAGGTAAAGATGGGGGGGGGGAGTGAATGTGACAAAAAGTGACCCAGGAGGAAGAGTCAGAGGTGCCTTCCTGTGGAAAAGCATTTTCTATCTAGGAAAAGGACACAGGATGAAAAGCAGAGCTGCTTTCAAAATGCCATAAGACGTGAATCTAGGAGCCAGAAGAGAGCCCCAAACTCAAGGCCAGGGCAAAGTGAGCATAAAGAGGAAGGGCAGGAGCGGGCAGGAGAGGTGGCTCTGGAACCCATACACACAGGTCAGCTCAGAGCCCACTCTGGCTTTGCTCTGGGTCTGACACATCACCAGGCTGTATTCTAATAGCAGAATAGTGGCTCTTCCCTGAGGCGTGTCTAGTTCATGGCTCCCTATTGCTTTCTAAGACCTGCTCCAGGTACTGAGTATCATCATTTTGGTCTCAGTTTAGCATCTTGTTTTCCTTTCCTCCCTGGGAAGGATGCACCAAAGCCTCACCCTTGCTTTGATTCTGCATGTTGAAGGCACATGGCACAGGCCAACTTGCCTAGCTTTATGTCTGAGACATGTCTGATGTTTGTTCCTACCATCCATTCATGATTTTCTGCTGTAAGGCACAATTTCAAATTCTAGATTCTGAAGGTAGGATGATGTTTTAGTCGGCTTTTTTGCTGATGTAACCAAAAGACCCGATAAGAACAATTAAAGAGGAAAAGTTTATCTTTGGGGCTCACAGTTTCAGAGGTCTCAGTTCATAGATGATGGACTCCATTCCTCAGGGCTTGAGGTGAGGCAGAACACCATGGCAGAAGTGTGTGGTGGAGACAAGCATCTGGGAACATGACATCAGGAAGCAGAGACAGCTCCGCTTTCCAGGGGCAAAATATATACCTAAAAGGCATGTCCCGCATGACCCACTTCCTCCAGCCACACCTTTCCTGCCTACTGTTACCATCCAGTTAATCCCTACCAGGGGATTAACACACTGATTAGGTTAAGACTCTCATAACCCAATCATTTCACCTGTAAACTTCCCTGCATTGTCTCACACATGAGATGAGGAACCCTCATCAGTGTCTTATACAAATGACTGGTTAATAATATGTTACACAGAATATAAATGTTTATATATTTCCCTACCTAGGTTGCTATAGAAAGTTAGACTGCATCTGGTTTTCTTCTGCTTAGTCTATGCCCCCTCATTGTTCTTTATGAGTTACCAGTGTAGACTCAGAAAGAAAAGATGCTAGAAAATAAATTCTTCCTCCTTGAATTAAAATGCAAACAGGATTTAATGGCAGAGAACAGAACCACCCTCCCACAGACCATGCAGGGATGCATGAATTGTTGCTCACCTCTACCCCCAGATTCAGGAGATGTTTGACAACATTGATCTGTCCGTTGGAGGCCGCAGCATGCAGTGGGGTGTAGCCCTTCTTATCCTTACAGGTCACTTCAGCACCGTGGTTAATGAGCAATGCCACAACATCCAGGTGGCCTTGACAAAAGCAGCAGAGAGCATCATTAACCTTCACAGGACATTTGATGACTCATTTCAACCAAAGGATCATTTCATTTCACCATTAGCTTTTTTGCCACCAGTATTTTGCTGAGCTATTTATGAAAAGCTGCCATATGGCAAATATTCAACAAATATTTACTGAGCAACTTCTATGTGGCAGACATTATGTAAATGGGAAGAAAAGAAGATGATTCATATGCAAGACTTCAGAAGATGTGGTAGCAGTAATGCCTGTCATCATGTCAACAAAGAAGGACCAGCCCCAGCTAATAGTTCCATATGAATTCTACAGTCTTTTAAAACTTGTGCTAAAATGAAAGCAATGATTTTTTTTTAAAACAATTGCCATTTCTCCCTGAAAAGCTTAACAGTAACAATCTGGTGTGGAAAAACCTGATAAAAGAAAAAAATTAATTAATCTGAACATCCCCACATTATTGCTAAATCATAGGAGTCTGCTATTGTTTAGTTGGTTTTTCACCCATAAAAATTGCAATTTCATATGGCTTGACATCAAAGTACTCTCATGAATGGCTAAATAGAAAACTCTTCTAATTTCAACTCCAATGTGTATTTCTTTCAAGAATATTTTACTCTGTCCCCTAATTCACTGTGTATAGTATGATTTGCTTTGATTTCATGACTGAAGCTTGTTTGAAGCTTCAGGGTCATTGCGAACCATGGCTGATAGCTGAAGGGTTAAGCTATAGAGACAGAGATACAGACAGACAGACAGACTGTTTGGTATTGGTTTGTTTTATTAAAATTTAACTTCTTCTCCCAGGATTTATACACATAGAAAGGTATATTCCATTACTAGTGGTTCTATCTCAAGCTATTTGTCTTGGTTTTGTCTCATTATCCCCTAAAGATGTCATCTATGGGGTTTGTTGTTTGTTTGTTTTTTTGTCTTTCTATCTGTATTCTGATGACACATCAATATTTTTAGTTGTAGATTGACTCAATACCTTTGTTTATTTAGCTTTGTGTGGTGCTGGGGATCAAACCCAGGGCCTCACACATGCTAGGCAAGTGCTCTACCACTGAGCTACGACCCCAGCCCCATGACTGTAATTCTTTAAGGTGTTTTATCCAAAAGTTTAAACTCTATATCATCAAAGAATGAGCTTGAAACCCCAGATTCTCTGATCCCTTTCTAGCTCTAGCTTACAGTCTATCCTGCCTAAACACCTGTCCCCTGGCAAGTGTTCCCTGCCTCCAATACAAGAGGAGCCAAGTTAACATCTAGTCTGCTTCAGCTAACTCAAAAGTCTGTGCCATTTTAAGAAAATGCTAATATTCCCAAAGTTTTAAGGTTTTTGGGTTTTTGAAGCCCTAGGAGTCATTCAGAGCCATCGATAACCATATAATTTATTTCATCCCTGCTCCAACCTACTATTTTTCCCCTTACAATTAATGTTAATTTTTTAAATGATGATAAAAGGCTTGTATACTTGTTTAAAAGGATTCAGTAAGGCAAAAAGGTGTTAAAGGGAAAGCAAAATCACCCACAATCACTAATTCCTAGGGATAATCAGTTAATATTTCAGTATATAACATTTTCCAGATTTGTTTTTATAGCATAGATTATTTTTTAAATGACGATGCTATTATTCATACTACTTATGATCTGTTTTCCTTGCAGAATCTATATGTTAATAAACACGCATGGGAATCAATACCATAGTTAACACAGTGTCCCACTGAGAACTTCCAGAATTTACCAAAACTATCTCCCATGGATAGGCATTCAGGTTGTTTACAACTTGGTGCTGATAGAATCCTATCTTCTTTTCTAACCTTAAGATGTTCTCTCAATGGAAGGATCTTAGTTCTTCATTTCCTATAAGTCCACATTGAGAATCAACTCTGTAAGGTATATCATATGTCAGAGGGTTTATGGAACAAAAGCAAAAAAAGGACAAGCATAGAGATGTAACCTCTTCCTTCACGTTCTCCAGCAGCGTGGAGCAGGCAGAAATGAGGATTGTACTCCCAGCTCAGTCCACAGCACTTCCACCCACTACAACCCAGGCTTTTCCTCTCTTCCTTCCTCCCAAAACATTTATAAATAAAAAGACAAACAGCACTTGTGTCTTTGCTTTGCTAGCCAGTCCTCTTTCTTAAGCACCTTATTTTGCTGTCATACCAAGTTAAAATAAGCACAATGCGTGCAGACTTCCAATCCGGAATGAAGCACATTCAGAAAGATCCAGACCATGATCCAAACTCCTCCTCTTTACAAGGTAAATAAATCACTGACAAAGCAAGTACCCAACTAGAGCACTCTGTGTGTGCCAGTAAGATGAGCCAAATCATTTAACTGGAGCCCAAACTTGAAGTCAGACTTGCCTGAGAGAAAACTTACGTGATCAACAAGAGACCTGTAGCTTATTTAGTTAGGTTATGGACATTTTGCTTTCTATGCGTGGGATTCTTACCCATATATGCTGCCCAGTGCAGGGCACGCCGGTCCTTCTTGTCAAATGCATTGATGTTTGCCCCTTTGGCCAAGAGTAAGTTGACCATCTGAAAGACAACCAATTATGAAATCAAGCACATACTCTGTAATGGTGAGGGTTCCTTGCTGCCTGCAGGTGATCTAAGCTTGATCTAATGTTGATTAACATCAACCCTAAATGCAAGTCAGAGATCTGGAGTTCAACAAACCAGGAAGATGATGTCACAGAAGACCCCGTGGCATGTGTCAAATTAAAAGACCAAAGACTTTTTCAATTCATATGGTCTCTAAATTTAAGAATGGATATAACTGCCTAAGTTTGATATACAAATATTATTCTTACATTATCTAAAAATCTTAGCAACAAGTTCAGGGTCTGTATGGAGCATCCCAATTCCCAAGGATGAGAACACCTACCTCCACATGTCCATTCAGAGCCGCATGGTGCAAAGCTGTGCGCCCCCCTCGGTCAGAGACATTGACACTGCTCAGCAGGGGAATGATCACTTCTGCACACTTGACAGCTTTATTGGCTGCTGCCACATGCAGGGGAGTCTGCCAGTTCTTGTCCCTTGCATTGACATCAGCAGAGTGCTTAATCAGTACTTGCACTGCTTCCTACAACAAAAGCAGAGTTTGCAAGGGTCACTGACAAATGCTCAGTCAACACTTTCCATAAATGCTTCACCAGATGTAGGGACAGGGAAGACTCCCTGTTTTCCCAGGCTGGCTCCAGACAAGCAAAGTAGTATATGATAAAGACCAAAGAGAGACACATACCAAGATAGACTTGCTTTACCTTTCTTTGTCAGGCCAAGAGTCCTAACACATCTCTAAAATCAAATAAAGTTTCCAAGGTTTATTTAAAAAGTATTTCTTTAAAAGGTATTTTTGGGCCAAAAAAGAGTATTTCTATACAGGTGAGCATAGCTGGGTAAAATATCCACAGGACAAAGGTCCCCAAAAGATCAGCTAAAGTTAGAGGTGTTTGTCAACAAGCTTCAAAACTCCCAAAGTTAAAAGGCTTCAAACATTCTTGCATCAGTTTGTAAATCTTTGGTTCTTTCTGCCAACATCTTAACCCTCAGTCTTGTATGATCAATAAACAGTGAAGTGAAGTCATATGTCTGTTACCAATTCAGCTTGAAAAGCTCTGAAATGGTTCCATCTTTTTCCAAACTTGTCCATGTTTTAATGAGTAACTTCTTTTCCCAACACTGAAGTCTTTAAACTTTACTGAGCCTCTCGTTTTTTATTTTTCTTCTGTGGGCCCAATCAGCTCACTAGCCTCTTGATCTATAACTCTTAACCTTGGCTATATGATGGAGTCACCTGGAGCTCTTAAAAACACAGATGCCTGGTTCCACCCCCAAGATATTAATGGGCCCCAGCATTTCTGTAAATCTCTCCTTCTCTTCAGTCAAGTGAATGATATATCTCATTTTGAGAAGGAAATGGCTATTGGTTGCTTCTAACTCTAGAGTCTTCCCTGGGACCAGGTAATGGGCTCCTTCATGGACACCTTGTCAATGTGGCATCAATAAACCAGTGAAATTCATCCATACTACACTCTTGCTACCCATCATGGACCAAGAACTCACCCTTGGCCACCTCATTCCCCAGAGGATTGACTTTCCAGTCTTTATCATACAGCCATAGAAAAGTGCCCCACTTTTTAAATGATTTGAACTCAGCAAAATGAACACTCTTATCAGGAACATAAAATGAGGAAATTAAAAGGGATGTTTTATAAATCAGTAGTAACATATTGAGACAAATGGCTAACCTGGACAGCAGAATGAGAGCAAATAAATAAATAACTGTGCAAAATTAGACAATACAGTTTAAATGAACAGTGTGAAAACTGGTGTATACTCTATTTAAATGATACAAATAAAACCAATAAACTGATGGGGCCCACACAAATGATTTAAGATTACCAAAAATTTTTAAGAAGATATATGCCACTCATCCTCAGAAAGATTGGTAAAGTACTACTAAATATTCTTGAGCCCATTTTAGAGTGAAACATGTATATATACATTATTAATGTTCAAATGCTACATGTGAAATTCTGCTATAGCTATAAAAGGTAGAAAGAAACATTAGCTGGATTCTAGCCTACAAACTAAATTGAGTGAACAAAAATAAAAGATAAATCACAAGATATGCCACAATATAAGATTAATAGAATAAGAATAGAATAAGAAAATCAATAGAATAGAATAAGAAAAAAATAAAAATTTATCAATTTTATTCTCATAAAGTATAGTTTTATTTAGATGCATGCATGATTGCAATGTGGGAAGAAAATGCCGTAACTTCTATCTATATTTATTTTCTTTAAAAAGGAAATCATTTTAGCTGATATTTAGCTTTGGTCAGTATAGCAGAGGTGCTGACCTCGCTTACAGTAGTAGGACACCCCTCTGGAGAAGAAGAGGGCTTCCACAGTGTGGGTGGGAGCTATGAATTCACTTTGATACAATAGCCTGTTAAATCAATTTATCGATTCTAACATGTACCTTCATAACAAGAGAACCCTAAAATGGACAGATCCATGCAAAGAACACAAGAATTAAAGATAATATTAGTAATATGCAAGCTTTAACAATGTAGAAGGCACAGAACTCAAGCTTCTTACTCCTATGGAAAGTTTTCTTTCACTGACAATTACAAGGTAAAAACAATGACAAATTTAATCAGATCTGACAAGAATTTGGCCAAAACAGAGAAAAATTATTAGGAGACTATTATCTAAATAGTTATGTAGGACTATGTATGATAAATGAAAAGTCCCACCTCAAGGATATGGTGCCTTGACATATTAGCTAGTTCATACATATAATTTATAAATAAATGAGATATGTGTTTTGAGGATGCATACCAAAAGTTTTGCAGACATACAACCCAAGAGTTTGGAGATAACCATCTCAAAGCAATACTCCAAAAGTGGTATAGTATCCTTTTCACATATTCCCAGCAAAATAACAATAGACGCGGCCACTTGAATATCTTTGCCTGCATTGTTATTTTACTGTACTTATATAGACTCATTCTTTGTGTTGAATATTATGTAAATTTGGGATAGACTAACAAAACATACAGGATCATTTCAAAAATTTATACTATTTGGAGATAAAACCAAAGTATTCATGAGAAATTTGCATTTTAAGGGTAACAAAATGTGATTACTTTTAAAGTAATTTAGAGTGAGTGAGTGTGACATTGTCTAAGAAAAGCCCTACTTTTAAATGAAAGCTTATGAATAATTTGCAATTCACACAAAGCAACATGCTAAGCAAAGATAGCATATATTAGCATACTGGTTATAGTTTCCATAGAAGTACATGCTTTTAAAGTTTGTGGGGGAAAAGTCTTTATTCTTAAGTAGTCAATACCTGCAAAAATATTGTTTAAATATTTTACTCAGATAAATTTGGTCTGTTTTGCAAACAGTTTTATTGGGACACAGACTTGTTTATTTGCTCACATACGATTATTTGCACCACGATCCTGACTGACCTCTGGGCTGCACGTCAACAATCAGTAAAGGAAAAGGTTCAAGTTCATCATCAGAGGGAGAAGAATAGAAAAAGAGAAGGAGCAGGATCTCTAATCTGCGTGTCACCATCAAAGCCCCAAATCTTCGCTTGCTTCTGGCCCTTGACAGAAAAAGTTTGCAGAACCCTTGGTCTAGCCTCTTGTTTGAATTACTGCAAATTGAAAATAACTGGTTGAAATTAAATTTTATTATATATCAGGAAAATATTGTTTGAAGCCAAATTACCTCCTAAGGAAGGCAGGTACTGTTGAAAGAGCCAGTGGGCGCTGTGTTGAGCAAGGCCCTTCTTGTGCAGTGAAGGGTCAACGGGGAATTTGCGAAGAGGGTGCACAGAGCTGTGTGGCTCTGCATGAGTGACGCATCTGGAGTGCTGCAAGAAGGAAGAAGTGAGGACAGAAAGCAAGGAGGGAGGATGTGGGCCCAGCGCACCTGAGGTGCACATCAGTGACCTGAGAGGGAAGAGGGGACGGCTGACACATAAACCAAGCTAATGCAGGAGGAGCGGGCTTGTGGAACCAGAGAGTCAGCAGCTGAAATCTCTGAAAATTCTTTTAAACCACTGGGAGAATGTTAGAGTTTGCACAAGATAGGGTGACGAGCTCCTAGACAATCATATCTATTTAGGAGGCACCACGATCCTGACTGACATCTGGGCTGCACGGCAACAATCAGTAAAGGGTTCAAGTTCATTATCAGAGGGGGAAGAATGGAAAAAGAGAAGGGGCAGGATCTCTAATCTGTATTGTGGGAACTTCAGGCAATTCCCGTGTGAGTAGGCATTTCACCACATTTGCCTTTCACACCAAGCCCTTCGCACATCTCAAGGATACCTAGAAGAGCCAAAACTTTTATTTCTCTACTTTTGTAAACTGTTTCAACTTTGATATTCTCCATTTTTATTTCTATATCTGTTTATGTAATGAGTTGCATAGTTTTCATCTACCTAATAAGAACTCCATTGAAAAAATACTTAGCATGTGAGACTTTTACATAATTTCCCCAAATTTATTTTTTAAGTGAAAATATAGTCTTTTAAATGATTATAGAACTAGATTCACAGACACATAAAATATTAGAAATGGAGAAGGTGTGTGGCCATCTGGGCTGACTCCTTCATTCAGAGGCAGCTTCATTTTACAGGCAGGGTGACGACCTGTATATTTTATACATGTACATGTACTATCTTCATTTTACAGGCAGGGTGACGACCTGTCAGCCTGGCTGACTTGGCTCTCAAGCATGTTCTGCTAGACCAGAACTTACTCAATGGACAGTCTTGGCCAAGCATCCTGGCATAAATACATTCAGACGTTTGTTTTCCATAGTTATTTACACTTTTAAGATCTGAAATTTTAGTTTACCAAAGTGGCTTAATACATTTAATAGGATTTTAATATAATAGTTCTGCGACACCAAAGTTGTGATTAAAAAAGACAACTTCTGCTTTAAGAAGTGCATTCCTCTTTCAAAAAATAGAATCTTGGAAGTTCTTTAACTTGGTTTTACAAGGGAATAGTGTTATGGCTATTTAGGAAATTAAAACTCTTTTAAATCAAAGGAGTCTCTCTTCTATGGTATCACACATGGGCCAAAAATTAATATCCAGGAATTTTCTCTAACAGAAATTACAAAGAAAATGCAAAAGAAAAAAAAACCTAACATGGCTTTTCCAGTGATATCTGGTACAGCACTAGTTTGTTTTTTTTAATTCCTATTATTTCAAATGCATCAAGAGTCAATATTTTTATAAAATACATAGAAAGCAATGAGTAGAATAATAACATGAAAAAATACAGACACAAAAAATATTAACTTGACTATCTGGTTATTAAATTATTACATTGCTCTAAAAGTTTAAATTATTACAATGCTCTATAAGTTTCTGAATGTTTACTCTTAACACAACACGTAAGACAAAAGCTTATGGGCACCAGTGTGTAGGCCACACTGCAAATAGTGTTCCTTTAAAGACTTTGTTTCTTTTTTAACAAGCGAATGCCAATGAGCACATGGCACTTGTCCTGAAAGGAGGTGTTAGCACTGCTAATGTTGA